GGCAGCGGAACAGGCGGACCCGAAATCGGCGGGTTCGACTGCACGTTCAGCCTACAGTTACAATTACAACAATTTTTACAACTCTCATTAGTAGCTTGTTTGTCTTTCAGAGCTGCTACCACTGAGTCCATTGAGGCCCGTAGTTTGGGGTCAGTTGGGGGTACGTTTGGCCGGAGGATGCTTGGTTTTGTACCGTCGACAAAATTTACGTGGACCTGCGGCTGAGTGAGCTCCGCTTTCTGTATATTGTTTTCGTTTTGGTTGAAGTCTTTGCACTGAGGTTGCGGTTGTGGTTGTTGTTGCGACGTTCGGATTGATGGATGGATGAATGAGTGAGTGAATGAATGAATGAATTAATTAATGAATGAATGAATGAATGAATGGATGGATGAATAAACGAACGAACGAACTAATGAACGAACGAATGAATGAATAAGTGACAGTATAATTGGTTGATTGAGTGATTTTAAGTTTTATTAAAAGATAAATAACGAGATATGAAAATTCTTAAATAAAGAGATGATGTTACATTAAGTTGTGGGCGGGTAGTTGGATATATGAGTGAATAAATGAATAAATGAATAAATGAATAAATGAATAAATGAATAAATGAATAAATGAATAAATGAATAAATGAATAAATGAATAAATGAATAAATGAATAAATGAATAAATGAATAAATGAATAAATGAATAAATGAATAAATGAATAAATGAATAAATGAATAAATGAATAAATGAATAAATGAATAAATGAATAAATGAATAAATGAATAAATGAATAAATGAATAAATGAATAAATGAATAAATGAATAAATGAATAAATGAATAAATGAATAAATGAATAAATGAATAAATGAATAAATGAATAAATGAATAAATGAATAAATGAATAAATGAATAAATGAATAAATGAATAAATGAATAAATGAATAAATGAATAAATGAATAAATGAATAAATGAATAAATGAATAAATAAATAAATAAATGGATGAATGAATGGGTAGATTAGATAGATGAATGAATGAATGAATGGGCCGGTAAATGAATGAAAAACAAATGAAACAAACTTGAACAATCGGTACGGCACTGTTGTTGTTGTTGTTGCTGACGTTGGGATTAGTAACGTTGTTGTGATTGTTGATGTTGTCGGCAGGTGGCGGGTTGTTCACAGTGGTCGGTGGAGCGGCGGGCTTGGCCACAGGTTCCACCTTCGAATAAAATTTTGTATTATCATTATTAAAATCTGGCATTAAACTAACTGATATAATCATTATTGTTATTTAATACTACTACCGCTAGAATAACTGCTGCTAAGGAAGCTACTGTTAATACGATAACTGCTGCTACTGAAGCTACTGCGGCTGCCGCTACGACTACTAGCACTTTTACTTATATTATTGCAACTAACACAACTGCTGCTATAGCAGCTACTACTACTGCTGCTGCTATAACAACTACTGCCAATGCTACTTATAATAATGTCATAAAGAAAAATATGAATAATAAAAACAATAATGATGATGATAATAACAACAACAACAACAACAACAACAACAACAATAATAATAATAGTTGAAACTTTCTCAACCGTTACAACCTTCTTTCCTTTATTCTTCCTCTCCATCTTTAACCTCTTGGCCTCCTCTTTCTTCTTCCTTTTTTCCAGCTTTTTTTGTTCCTTTTCCGCTTTTTTTCGCGCATTTTCTGCGTCTTTTGCAGCTTTTTTCGCGGCTTTCGCCTTCCTCTTCTCCTCTTCTGTCATGTTTTTGTCTGGGCGGTTAGGGATGGGAGAAAATTTTCAAGTTGAGTGGTGGCCTTTAAGTTTGCTTAAGTCGATAATTATTTTCGAAAAAATAATACAAATTATGATAGTAGAGTAAGTATAGTCTATATAAATGTATGAATATAACATTATATTATAATAAACCATTATATTAGATAAGGTTATAAACAAATTTATGTATTTAATTCATGGTCAGAAAGAATTTCAACAATGAATGAATGATTGAGAAGATGGTATAATGAATAAATAGAGAAATAGTCACACAACAATATGTCGTGCAATATATTATCTATAAACAACAAATGAAGAGTGTACTATTTATAGACCTTTATTCTTGCCCAAACACAGCGCTATAAAAACGAAGGCCACCACAAACATAACCAAAGACACCAGAAAAACAGGATGTGGTATGGGGAAGCTGCCATTTTTTAATTCCTTCTCGAAGTCGATTTTTCTCGGTAGGTGATGCTCTGTGGTTGCAGCTCTCTGAAGTGCGAACGAGAAAAGAACAATGACGTAATAGGGATGGGGGTGGTGGAGAGTAGCCATTTTGATTTTGCTAGTTGTAAAACTGTTACTAAATTTATTTTATTTTTTTTATTTATTTATTTTTATTAATTTTTTTTCCTTTTTTGTGCGTCCCATTGTTTTTTATTTGCATTTTTATCTGAGTGTTCTGTGAGCAGTGCTAATTGTGTTTGTGCAACGAAATTAACGATTTTAAAATGTTTTAACGTGAATTAACTTTATTATTATTAACGAATAATTTAATTTTTAACAACAATGCAACTTTAACAAACGCGTAAAACATTTTTTCTATAGTTCATTATCCATACTTTGATGTTTTAAGCAACTTAATAAAATCAGAACGAAGAAATAACTATGAAGAAAAACAATTATGCTTAATTGTATATTATAGACATAATTAATACACTAATTAATTAACTAGTTACTACTACTACTACTTTAATAACGTTAATTAGTTTAAATAATTAAGTTGATTGCATGCAATGCATGTTGGAGTAGTTGCTTTGTGAATTATTTTTCAAAATCATTTTTTAAAGGACAATCCTATAGTCTAGCTGAAAATTAAAAAAAAACATACAAAATATGAATGAATAGTTTCAAATTATATCTTTTGTAGTACGTTTTTATGAATGTATTTTGTTCAATATATGCCATTAAGTTATGATTAATTTGTCTTAAAATGTACCAAATTATGTTTAATATGATTAAAACTAATAATATGTTACAAATGTAAAAAATTTGGGTTTTAAAATGTCTAGTATGAAGGTTCTAAACATTTTAAACAGTAATTTATTTGCAATAAAAATGATTATGAACTAAAATTCATACATTAATGAACAATTGTTAAGTATGTGCTGATGATGAATGCACTAAATAAAATAACACAAAAAATGTTTCAGTTGGCTGTTAGTTGAACCATTGATTTTTATTGTTTGACGTTTTCGGGTTTATTTTAATAAAAACTTTAAACAAAAAAATGAAAAAAATATTAAAAAAAAAATCGAAACACCTAATTTACGGCCGAAAAAAATAGTGAAATAAATTTTTAATCAGAATTTTTAGTCATTTAATAAAAATTCGTCCGAAACTAACTTTCTCCTCCTAAGTCTTAATAAATTTTACTTTTTAGAAAACTTAGATAGATAGATAGATAGATTTTTTTCCATTTCTTTAAATTTCTGAAATATTTTTCACCGGAAAGACATTTTCATCTGTTATATGTAGCGACATAATAATCTGGCAGTTATGATCAAGTTTAAATTCTTTCGAGATATCTAGCTGGTTTGTTGGTTTTTCCACGCCTAACCTAACAACCTTAAGAAGTCGTGGTTAATGAAGTTTGCCGGATTTTGGTGATTCATTAGTCAATTAGTAAAATGGCCGAGTCCAATCGAGATGCGCCTTTGTGTCCCTGTGGTTTCTGGGGGTTATTTGTTATAATTTTTTTTCTCAAAAGTTCAATTATTTGATTGAATCTATCTTAGATTACTAATTATGTTTTTTTCTAATTTTAAATTAATATAATTGTTTTTAAAAATAATTTTATTATATTTATTAATAAATTTGACTCTTACTCTAACGACCTACCTAAAACAAAACTATAATCTTATTTTTATATTATTTATAATTATATTACTAGTATAATTATATTAATTTATTAATTATAATTAACTAATTATAGATCTGTCCAGACATCTGGGTTATGTTCAAAGTGCTATAAAGGTGATTGTGAGATTATCTTATTAATATTCTAATTTTTTGAAAAATTTCATTTATTCAAGTAATTTATTTTTATTGAATTCAATTAAATAAAAATTTATTTATCCGAACCTAACTTTATTAATTAGTTTAAGACTTAAAGGAGAAAGTTAGGTTCGGATGAATTTTTATTTAATTAAAATTTGTTAAAAATTGTAATTTGAATTGTAGAAATGCTTATGAAGCAAGAGTGCTCTGGATGTTCGTTGCACAATTCTTCAAACAATGGTAGTAGTACTTCAGGTCTGGATTTATTTATTCGTTTTTTCATCCGTTCTGTCATTCATTTTTTCATTTATTGGTTCTTCCATTACTCATTCATACATTCATTCATTCATTCAATATATTAATTAATACATAAAAAATGCTCTCGAATTGAAATAAAAAATTGTCATCAATTCATTTAATTCATACTTTCATTCCAATAGTCACAGACAACTCGAAAACTCAACAACAAGTGACCCAGAAAATGTCTGAGAACTTTGACCTAATTTTTTCATCCAATCACCATAACAACAAGCCCCAGGCCAATAGGAATCCATCAAGCTTGGATGTTGCAGCAGTTGAGGATGAGGTTGACCTCAACACTGCTGATGCTGATGTGTAAGTAGCTTAAGTTACTCAATAGTAGCAGAACGAATGCGTCCTTAATTAATACTTTTATCAGGGCAATTTGTTTAAAATGCTTTAAATTTAAGAGCATTATTAAATTCAATCCTACCATAAGCCAATCATTTTTTATTATCTATGTAACAGTAAAAGTTACATCTCTATTTTCACTAACTACACTAATTTATAGCACTCCAAGCAATATTTCTACAAAATTTAATTACAATTTTTAACAATGAAAGCATTACCTCTGAGATGCCTGCCCTAACCATGCCAACAACAACACCAGCAATATCAGTAACGAGAGTAGAGCCAACAACACTGACTTCATTAAACAACAACATCACATCACCAGCAACAACACCAGCCACAACACAGCCGCCAGCGCCACCAATAACAATTGTAGCACCAACGGCAGCCACACCAACACCGTCTTCTTCGAAGGCGGCTGCGGTAGCAGCAGCTACAGCAGATCAACAAAATTCAGAATCACCGATCGGAAATCATCCTCGAACTAGCATTTCCCTAATCAGTACGGCCGCCCTGCCAAGTTATGCTCTCTCCCCTAGTTCCTCGTCCGTACCGTCGCTTGCTGCGTACACAGAGGCTGGTGGTAGCAACACCGATACGAGCACTGTTGCTACGACCCAAACTTCCAATACAACGGACTCCAACCTCAGTCGGCCCGCACAGAGAAATAGGAAGAGATGCTTCAAGTGTAACTGTAGGTTGGATCTGGCCTCCTCAACTATAGGGCTCTGCAAGTGTGGTCAGTTGGTCGGTCGGTTGATTGGTTGGCTGGTTGGTCAGTTGGTTGGTCAGTCACTTGGTTGGTTGGTTGGCTAGTTACTGATTGATTGATGATTGATTTATTTGTTGATTTGTTTACATTAGGATTCAAAAATTATTCTGCCTTATTAACTTCAATTTATGCCACTTTTCAACCAACCGTCCGACCAACCAATCAATCACTCTCCCTACTTCTGCCTCCTCCAGATTATGTCTTCTGCGACCTGCACAGACTTCCGGAGCAACACGACTGCACCTATGACCACAAGACTGAAGGCCGTCAGGATGCACGAAACAAAATGGTCAGCCCGAAGAAGCACATGGGCACTACTCTGAAGAGACTGGACTCTTAAAATTTATTATTATTATTTCATTATTATTTTATTATCATTATTATTTTATTATTATTACTATTTCATTATTATTATTATTATTGTTTTTGATAGAGTTTAACATTATGAAAAAATTAGTCCTCTTATATTCTATATTTTGTTTATTAATATACATACATACATATACACATACATACATACATACAAACATATAAAATGTATACAATTACAATGTTTTATGAATTTTATGAACGCTTATATTGAAAAAAAACATTTGTTTCCTGAAAAAATTGTTGATGATTGTTGGATGGTTGATGTTAATGTTATTGCTGTCATTGTGGATTTTGGCGACGTATTTCGCTGTTATAGATTGTTGTTTTGTTGTTAATGGTGATGTATCTATCTCTCTCTTTCTTTTTCTCTCTCTCTTTCTTTTTCTCTCTCTTTCTCTGCTCGATAAATTGTATTTGGATGTATGTATGTATATTTATATATATGTATGGATATATATATATATATTTATATACGATTTTTATCATGGTAGTATTTTTTGCGTTCTTACTAGCGTTTTTATAGTATAGACATCACCTATTTTTGAATGAATAATAAAATAAATGATTAAATAAATGATTAAATAAATAGTTAAATAAATAACTAAATAAATAATCAATTATATAATTAAATAAATAACTAAATAAATATGTATGTATGGTGACTGATGGTGCAATGATAAGGTGCAGTCACCGAATTCTATTGCAGGGAATTCCGCATCTATATCCTACAATCTGTGTGTGTGTGTACGTGTGTGTGTGTGGTTTGCACGTGTATTATTTTATGTACTATTTACACACACGATGTATGTTTGTTGCCGATACCCCTGAAGAATATCGTAGAGAAGAACTTAATAAAATAATGCTATCAATAATTATTACCGTCATAATAATATTGTAGTAATTATTTTTGTTGCTATTGATTTATTTATTTATTATAGTTATAATTAATTGATTGATTGATTTGCTATTTGGTTTGAAAAAATATTTACTTAAATTCAATATGCCTTATGTATATAGTTGAGAAAGTCACACACACACATTTATATTATATATATATATAATATATATATATTTACATTCATTTGTTCGTTCATTCATTCATTTATTCATTTTTTCTTCCATCTATCCATTCATTCATTCACTTCATGTTTTCAAATACAGAGGCTGTGAATTTCATGCACCCTCTTGGGTTGTAAAGATGCTATTTAAATGAGCCATATTACTTGTCGTTGATGGGTTTGTTTATTATTATTATTATTATGTGTTATAAGGATTATAATAATAATAAATATTATTATACGGTATCATATATTTATCGTTGTTACACATTATAAATTATGATTTTTTTCGCTTGGCCAAATTTTAAGATTGGTTGATTGATTGGTTGGTTAGTTGATTGAATGATCGACTAATTGAATAATTGATTGACTAATTGATTGAATCAATCAATCAATTAGTCAATTGATTGATTAATATAGTAATTATCATTCCAAAAAATGATAGCAATCAATAATAAGTAATAATGACTTTTCAGTTTCGTCATCTTACCAATTATAATGCGATTATGGCTTCTTTAAGATAATAATAATAGTTATTTATTATTATAATAATAATAATTACTATTATTTATTATTATTGTTGTTGTAAATATGGTGTGCAATAGTATTTGTATGTTTGGTTGGCTGGATTTTTTTTCGGTAAATTAAAATTAAATGAAATCAAGCGTTTGTTAATAAGCACAATTTTGACTGCGTTTTGGTTTTTATTTCTCTCTCTCTCTCTTTCTCATTCTCTCTCTCTATATATATATATACATATATATATATATATATACATATATATATATACATATATATATATACATATATATATATATATATATATATATAATACGTTTAAGGGTGTATGTATGTTTAGTACATATAAATCACAATAAATAAATGAATCAATCATAAATGATATAAATAGGTCGAATCAGTAATTAATTAATTATTTAATGGGTTAATTAATTAGTTAATTAATAGGTTCATTAGTTAATTAGTTTCACATAAAATTTGAAAGCTAAAAGTTGAGTATAAAATTTGTATATACATTTACATGATTAAAAGCCTTTTAAAATGAAATATATGGGACGGTATTATGAAAGATAGAAAGATACACACGCGAATGAATGAATGAGTGAATGAATGAATGAAAGAGTGAGTGAATGAACGGAAAAGTGAGAGAATGAAAGAGTGAGTGATTGTATGAATATACAAATATTATAGATTGTCCAAAGGTTAGGAATGAAATGAAATAAAATATAAAAATAATAAATAATCGCGTCAGCCATCCATTCATCCATTTTTTTTACATATTAATATTTTAACGCTAATTTACAATTTTTAAATTCATTTCGTGGCATCGTTAACTTTTTGATTATGAAGCATTAATATAATATGACATGGTGGTGATAGCATAAGGTAAAATTGTCGTATAACGGTTTATCTACGTCATCATCATCGTCGTCGTCGTTGTCATAATATTCTTTACACTTGGGCAGAGCTTGTCCATTTAATATCCTGTCTGGTGGAAAAACCAGTTTCATTCTCGATACTGGGCGTGAAAACGAAATTCGGAAATTTCCGGTCACTTCTATTTTTGTCGTACTGGTTTTCCAGGCTGTTTATAGAACATCTGGAATTCCCGCTAACCGTTCTCTGTAGTAGATAGTAGTTGTTAGAAAGTGTAGTACCGGCAGCGTCGGCTTCGACTTCAGACGTCGGTTCGTAATTCAAGTTGATTTTGGTGATATAGGGCGGATGTGAGCTAATGTTGTTGCTGCTGTTGTTGTTTGTGCCGCTGCTACTGATGATGCTATTGTTATTAATGACGTCATCGTCAATGTTACAGTTATAAATGTTGTTGCTGTTGCTGTTGACTTGTTGACGATTTCTGCCGTTAAACTGTTGGACGTCAAAATCGTAGCCCTGAATGTCATTTGTGACGTAACGTTTAGGGGAAAACCCAGTCCTCTGCGATATTTCTATTTTTAGATTTCCACAAAATGGCGTCGTCGATGATGGATATGATGATAATGATGATGACAGCGACGACGACGACGACGATGATGCAAGTCTTGACAAGTCCAACGATCGCTGGTGGCTGTGGTGTATTGTTGGGTGCTGTTGTAGGCGGTATGGTGCTTTCTGGGCTTGCTGGTAAAATATATTTTGTTGTTGTTGCTGCTGCTGTTGCTGCTGTTGTTGTGGGATTTCCACAAATTGTTTATCAATTTCGGTTTCTATGTCGTTGTAACTTGTTTTTGTTGTACTAACTAGTAGGCTTCGCCTATTCCTTATTCTATTGTTGTTTTGTTGTTGTTGTTTCAGCGAACCAAATTGTTGAGATTGTTGTTGTTGCTGCTGCTGGTTGTGATAATGATCCTGCGGTTGTTGTTGGAGATGATGATAATGATGTTGTTGTTGGAGGCGGTGGTGATGATGATCGAAATATTGGCGGCAGGAGTGAGGCGGGAATGAAGTTTGAATGGGGCAGCAAAAATGTTGTTGTTGTTGTTGATGTTGTTGTAGTTGTTGCTGCTGTTGTTGATGATGTTGTTGATGTTGTTGTTGTTGTAATTTTATAAATTGCTGTTGACGTTGTTGATGTTGTTCTAGCAACAGCTGATGGTGTTTCAGCTGCTGTTGCTGCTGCAATATTTGATGTTGTTGTTGCTGTTGTTGATGTTGTTGTTGTTGCTGTTGTTGTTCTGCATCTTTGTAAATGTTGGAAGATTCTATGAGTTTCAATGTCGGAGTTTTCATGTGTTGTTGTACGTCTACATCGAAGTTCAACGACGGTTGATTTTGTTGTTGTTTTTGTTGTTGTTGCTGATAATCATGATCATATTCATCTCCCTCTCTTCCTTCCGGTTGCAATCTTTTGTTGTTGTTGTTGCAGTAACTATAACCATAACCATCAACAACAACATTCACATTATTGTTGTTGTTTTTGTTATTATTATTGTTGCAGCTTGAATGGATGCCATGACAACAGGCTGGAGCGTTTATAATAAAATATTGACTGTTGCGATTGGTGTTGTTGTTGTTGTTGATGACGTTAATGTTATTCCGTCTGACGAAATTGAAATTGGCGGCTAGGGGTGTTGTTGGTGTTGACTTTGATTTGAAGGTAGCAACGCGGGCAGACAACAATGTTGCTGTTGTTGTTGATGTTGTTAATGTTGTTGTTGTAGTTGTTGACGGCGATGATGATGATGATATTGCCGGCTGTGGAAACGGTAAAAAGAATTGACTGTTCTTAGAAGAAGAGGTTGATGTTTGTTGTTGATGTTGTAGTTGCTGCTGTTGTTGTTGTGACGATGTTGTCGTCGTTGTTGCTGTTGATGCAATTTGTTGTTGTTGTTGTTGTTGTTTTGTTGGAAACTTTTTCGGCAGTGATCTGAAGACGTTTCTTGACGGAGATAAATTGAATAGTTTGTCTTTGAGTTTTATGTTGCTGACGTTGTTGTTGTTGATGTTGCTGCTGCTGATGTTGTTGTTGTTGTTGCTGTTGTTGGTTTTGTTGTTAAGAACGGCGCTTAAATTTGACCTATATCTGAAAATTTATACAGAGGATCATTGAATTATTTCTATTATTATTGATGGGGATTTGTTTCAATCATCATCATCATCATCATCATCGTCAACATCATCATCATCATCGCCATCATCATTATGAATATCATTACCACCACCATCATCATCGTCATCACCACCATCATCATCGTCATCACCACCTCATTCTTCTCATCTTCTCCAAGAATGATAGATGTTCTTTTGTTGGGTCCAAGCTTTTTGTCAGTTTTGTGCCTGTATAGCGAAAAAATTTTTTTTTACTCATTCATCAATCGTTCCTTTGCTCCTTCATTCATTCATTCATTCATTAATTCATTCGTTCATCCATTCGTTTGATCATTCATACAATTATTGATACATCCATCTATCCAATCATGCATTAATTCACACATATATCCATCTTTATTTCTTTTATCTACATATCTATTCATTCATATATTTATATATCTATCCATTCAACTTTTAATTAATTAATTCATTCATTCATTCATTTATTCATTCACCCATTCACTCATTCATTCATCGAATCCACATCCATATATAAACTTACTTCTTTCGCTTAGCTTTTCACACAGCAATCTATTATTACCAGTGGCAGAAGCAGCAGGAGCAGCAGTAGTAGCAGTAGCAGCAGCAGCAGCAGTAGTAGTATCATTACTATAACCGCTATCAACCTCTTCATCATCATCATTATCATCATCATTTAGATACAAGTTATCCATCGATTTGTAGAGTTTTGTCGGCTTTGCCAGTAGCAGCTGCCTCACCAAATTGTTGCTGCTATTTTTAGAATCTGGAGAATTTTCGACGGTAATGAATGGTGATAGTAGTGATGTTGGTGATGGTGCTGTCAATAATGATGATGATGATGACGATTATGATGATGATGGTGATGACGATTATGATGATGATGATGACGATTATGATGATGATGGTGATTAGAGGCGAGTGGGAATTGAAATTTGTTCCCAAGTCCCACCCATGTTTTTCCTCATTCCCAATTCTCTCCTGAATTCTCATTTATGATAAATGATTGAGTAACAGTCAGAGAAGGAGGTAGAGAGCTCCAGAAAAAAGAGCCAAACAAAACAAAAGCAGACTAAGCTAAAGAGTGTTTAACACGAGTTAAAACAAGAAGTGAGAATAAGAAGACGATCGTAAACCGGGGTTCAATTAATATAACTGGTAAGGACTTATGAAAAAGAGTCATATAGAGTTATACAGGGTTATATTAAGTTGTATAGAGTTGTATAGAGTTATATAGAGTTATATAAAAGATAATATAATGTTATATAGCGTTATATTGGATTAAATAGAGTTGTATAGAGTTGTCTAGAACCGATGTTGATAAAGTCGTTCATGGTATAAGTGAAATAGATTTTTATATAACACTAATAACTTTATTTGAATAATGATAATAATAATAATAATAATAATAATAATAATAATAATAATAATAATAATAATACCAACAACAACAAAAAACGATAAGAAGAAAAATAACAAAACAAAATGACCCACATTTTTCCCCGCCTTTTTTCAAGGACAAATGAACAACCTGACTATAATCATCATCATCATCTTCTTCTTCTTCATCATCATTATCATTACCGTCTTTATTGCCACTGTTACTATTTTTAGGAGTGCTATAAATAGATTTGTTGGGTGGTCCCGCCCCTTTTATCTGCTTGTAAACATCGAATGACCTCGGGTTGATGTGGCCTTTCCGCTTCTCTGAAACGCTCCGCCTACCGAAACCCTCTCTGCTAAACATTTTTGTGACGTCATAACTGGCGTCATCGTCGTCGTCGTTATCGTTATGATGATTGTTGTCGTTCTTGTTATTACTATTGTTAGTAATGGTGACGTTGCTTTTGTTATCCTCATCATCGTCATCATCATCATCATCGTCATCATTTCTTCTGCAGCACGGAGTGGTTGGTGCTGATAACGATAGTGAAAATTGAGGTTTTGATGAAGATGATGATGGCGATGTAAGGAATGATGAGGGAGTATGTAAATCCGGATCTCTCTCCACCTCTCCATCTTTTAAATCATCATCGTCGTCGTTGTTAGCATTGCTGCGATCATAATCACTTCCACCACCACGAGCAACAACAACATCATCATCATCATCATCGCGGTGTAAAGATGATGACGTAGTAGATAACGACCCCGGAAACGGCGATGACGTCAGGGAAGCTAATTTTAGAACTACGGAATTGGGGAATTCCATTTCTTTATTTATGGCCTTTATGATCACCTCCATGCACTGCTGTTCAGTCATCGTCGTTGGGTCTAGCTGCTGATCGTTTAAGCTAAGCAGCTGCATCTGCTGGTGGGGTGCGACCTTGGAAATTATAATATTTATTATAATTATAATACTTATAATAATGAATAATAATAATAATAATAATAATATTATTATTATTATTATTAGTTGTAAAAATATTTGTAGTAAAAGTATCAGCAGCAGCAGCAGTCTAAGTAGTAATAATAAAAGTAGCATTTGTTGCTGTAGTAGCAGCAGCAGTAGTAGCAGCAGTGGTATTATTATCATCAGTAGTAGTAGTATTATATATCATATTTATGCAAACATAGATAGTTAATTTACCTTAGCTAGAATGCCGTCGAATTTTTTATCTTTGTACCTCGGCCTGAGTGATATTTCGACGGGGAATCCAATCAGTTTAGACATGGGGAATGTGAAGAATAGGGATGTGCCGTCTCCAGGAATGGTGGCCGGAAGTTCTGAGGTCGGTGTGACGATTGAAAACGTCGTCGTTATTAAATTTGTCGGAGCGCTTGTGGCGGTAGCTTCAGCTGCTGCAGTAGTAGTCGTAGTATTTTTACTATTTGTATTATTATTATTATTGTCACCGGCTGGGCTATAAATGGCGTTTCGGAAAAACCCATTCTCGATGCTATAAATAGATGGGGATTTACTTTTCATTAGAAATGACTCCATGGCTTTTGTTAAGTTTCGTTTCTTCTGCTGTTCTTTGGATTCCGTTTTTACGATCTTCGGAGATTTTGGAATTTTAGAGGTTTTCCGGACGCCGTCATTGTCGTTAGTTTCGTTTTCAAGTTTAGTGACGTTATCAATTACGTCATCATCGCTGTTGCAGTGTTGCTTCGCGTCGATGGTGTTGTTGTTCTGGATATTGTTGTTGTTGTTGTTGCCATCGTTTGGGAGTGTGTTTGCAGCGCTGTTGGCAATGTCCTTACTTTCGCTACTGAAGTTGTTACCATCATCGTCGTCGTCGTCGTCTTCATCATCTTCATCATCTTCATCATCATCTGCTGCCTGAGACATTAAGTTTTTTTATTGGTTATCATCATCATCATCATCATCGTCGTCGTCATCATCGTCTACAACATCATCATCATCATCATCATCATCATCATTACCGTACTTACTTGTCTACTGACTACCAGTTTGACAGGCTGGCCAATAGGAGCCAACCTCAGTAACTGGGTCACATCAGATCTCCTGGCATTCGATACGTCGACATCGTTGACCTAGTTACATGAAATTACGTCTAAATACATTATAATTATCATCATGAATATAATTATAATCAAATTATTAATAATTAATACGCAAAAAATTATCGATTCATTCAGCCAGCCGACCAATCACGTTTAACCTTCAAAAGCCTGTCCAATAAGCGTAGCTTATTGCTTTTCATAGCAACGCCTCCTGGAAGAATATTCTTGATGTAGATTGGTCCAGCAAGAGTGTCGTCGGCCATGTTGTCGCGACTCGTTATCGTGAAGCCCAGGCCGCTGGCGCCTGAGTGAGAGAGTAAGAAAGAGAATGAAAAAACGAATGAAAGTGGCTGTATTTACCATCATCATCACCATAATCGTCATCCTCATCATCCTCCTCCTCCTCCTCATCATCATCATAATCTTCTTCACCATCGTCATCATAACCTTTAACTAGCTTAACGCATCGGACGTTGCCGATCATTCGCGTGTTAGAAAGAGCAAGAGCTTCTGGCCGTCGTGCTGATGACGATGATGGTGGCGGTGATGATGACGATTGCGCTGTGGCCGTAGCAGTAGTAGTAGTTGTACCACTACTACTTGGCGTTGTAGTAGTGGTAGCAGTAGTCGTAGCAGCAGTAGGAGTAGTTGCTGCTGCTGCTGAAACAGGATTAAAGCAGCCTGCAAATGTTATAAAGTAAGAAAAATTACAATATCAATCTGAATAACAATGCTAACTAACAAAAATTAAATTATTATTATTATATTATTATTATTATTATTATTAGTAGTAGTAGTAGTAGTATTAGTGGTAGTAGCAGATAAATATCCAATGTATTATATCAGAGATAACATTGGGTCAATGGCGCATCTTAAGTGTCGATGCATACTTACAAGTACCAAGGCTATAATTATAATTATTTTTGTTGTCATTATTATTATTAATGTTATTATTATTATTATTATTACCGTTATAATAATAATAATAATTATTATTATTATTATTTTTATTATTATCAATATTATTATTATTTTAACGGTTTCAAATTAAATGAATGGATTGAAAATGACATGAAGGCATTGGCAGCACGTAAGCACTGAAAATAATGACATCACTTACTTTCGTTAATATTATTATCGCTGTTATCATTGCCTTCTTCAAAGTAAGTCAAATCTGAAAACGACGACGACGACGATGACGACAAAAACTCCTTAGTCACTATGACGTCACTGCGAAATGATGTGATCACGTGACTCGACGACGACGATGATGATGATGACGATGTTGTTATCACGTGATTAGATGACGACGACGACGATAGCGGTGGCGGTGACGATCGCGACGAGGGCAGTGCATGTGATGGCAATAGTAATGATGCCGATTGGCGTGATGACGGTGATGATGATGATGGTGATATGGCAGCTGACTTTGGTCTGACTTTATAAGGTAGAGGCGATTGAATGACCGATGATGATGATGATGATGATTTTGGCGGTGCTGATAGTGATACTTGCGAAAATGACGATGATGATGGTGGTTGTGGTACTGATAATGATGGTGGTTGCTGTGATGATGATGATGATGGTGGTTGTGATGATGATGACGACGACGATTTAGTTTTTATGATCGTTGGTATGGCAGCCGGAATGTTTGTGGCCGACATCTTGTTCTTCATCATCGTCGATGCGAACGTCAGCTTTGTCGCTGAAGTTGCTGCTGCTGCAGCAGCTGCTGCTGCTAATGATGATGATAATAGTAGTGGAAATGATGATAATGATGATGATAGCGATGATGATAGAGTGAATTTAAAATCAGAATTATATTAATTGTATCGGAAATTTAAAATCTCATTTCTTGAAATATTTACAATACGGTCATCATCATCGTCACCATCATCATCATCATCACCATCATCATCACCATCCTCCTCCTCATCATCATCAGTACCTTTATCATGGTCATAATCATCATCATCATTGTCGTCGTCGTCCTCTGCATCGTCATCATCGCCATCTTGGTTATCATCGTAGATGGCTGATGACGTCACTGCTGTCGGGAATGTAATTCTTTTTCTATTCAATTTCCGTGACGTCATCGGGAAATTATTATTATTATTATTATTATTATTATTATTATTATTACGGTTATTGTTTTTATTATTGTTATTATTGCTATTATCATTGTTGTTATTATTATGATGGTTATTGTTATTATTTCTATTGTTATTGTTATGGTTATTATTGTTATTGTTGTTATTGCTGTAGTTGCTGCTCGTAACTAACTTAAATAACGAATCAGTAGGACGGGCACCTGCTTCGGTGTAGGATATTTTCGAAACTAAAGATGATGACGACGACGATGACGATAATGTAGTTGACGACGAGGCTGAAGACGATGGTGACGCCACTGACAATTTCGAATCTTTTCTAAGACCTCGAGAACTGTTTTGGATGAGAAGATAATTGGTGGAAGTAATAACAACAACGACAATAATAACAATACTACTACTGTTACTTCTACTACTACTGCTACTACTGCTGCTACTAACGCTACTGCTATTACTACTACTACTAATACTACTGCTACTTCTACTACTACTGCTACTACTACTACTACTAATAATAATAATAATAATAATAGTGATAATAATAAATTTTTGAGACTAACTTTTCCAGAATCGAGTTTAAGGACAAACTCGAAGTTAATTGATGATGATGATGTTGTTGTTGTTGTTGTTGATGATGTTGTTGTTGCTGATGATGATGTTGTTGTTGTTGTTGCTGTTCGAAGAGTTTGTCTCTCGCTTCGAACCAGCTGTCTTGGAGTAAACAGTTTCCTGTTTTGAGAATTTACGATCATTACCATCATCATCGTTTTCGTCGTCATCATCATCATTATTATTACTATCATCACCACCATCACCATCATCATCATCACCTAATGATTTCCTGGTTAAATTTCTTGAGAACTGACTGACAGCCTGTAATAATTCGTCGTCGTCATCATCGTCATCCTCTTCTTCTCCATTATTATTATTATTATTATTATTATTATTATTATTATTATTATTATTATTATTATTATTATTATTAGCTTTAACATCTTTTGTAACAATACTGTCATAAAAATCGTCCTGGTTGAAAATGTTGTTGTTGTTATTATAGTTGTTGTTGTTTATGACGCCATCACCATCATCGTCATCGTTGTTGTTGTCAATGATGACGTCATAATTATTATTATTATTATTACATGTTTTTATTATTGTTTTGTTTCCTTTCTGCCTCGATTTGATTTTCTGCGCCGTGGGTCTTGGCTTGTTGAAAAAAAAACATTTAATAATAATAAAAATAATAATATTTCAATAATAATAATAATAATAAAAATAAATCATCGCCGCCTTCGTCATCATTATCATTACTAACAGCTGTAGAGAATTTTTGCTGGAAAGGCATTCTATCTACGGCTGACGACGACGATGGTGATGATGCTGCTGGGACAGATGATGATGATGGTGATGAAAGAGCTACTGACGATGATATTGATGATGATGTTGGGTTGTTCAGGAATCTTCTCATAGCTTTGTTTATTGCGGCTGAGTTTGATTTTAAGCTAACGAATTCAACCTTTATCTGTGTTTGTTGCGTGTGTGTGTGCGTGTGTGTGTGTGAGTGTGTGAGCTAGGTTTGTTTTTGTGTGTGTGTGCGTGTGGACGTGTGTGTGATTTCAGTTTTTTTTTCATCAATCATTCCATTAATCAATTAATCTGTTTTGTGTCTACCAATACCAATTCGTTCGTATAAACTTATAAAACCATTGATTCGTTTATTTATTTATTCACTCGTTCAACCATCCATCCTACTATTCATTCATTCATCCATTTATTCATTCATTCCTTCATTCATTCATCCATCCATCCATCCATTCATTCATTCGTCTCTTTGATAATGATTGATTGATTGATTGGTTCAATAATTTCATTGGATTTGTTTATCCATCCAAATCACTCATCCTCCATTTATTAGTCCGTTTATCGGGCCATTCATTCATTCATATATCCATTCATTCATCCTTTCATTCCTTCTTTCCTTCCTTAATTTCTTCATTCATTCACTCATCCGTCTACCCATCCATCCATCCACTAACTAACTAACTAACCGTATCGTTGTTATCGACAACGTCAACCATGACGTCATCATCGTCGAATATAGCGCCATCCAGAGTGCACATGTGGTAAGATGATGATGATGATGACGACGATGGTACTGATGATGATGACGGTACTGATGATGACGATGATGACGCCAAAGATTGTGACGTCATTCCTAAACTGTTTCCGTCGTCTGAGGTCTGAAAAATAAAACCCCAAAATCATCATCATTCAGTCATCTCGTCGCGTTGTTATAATGTTATCATCGCTATCAGGAGCGTCGGAGCTGATGTAGTTTAATGAGAGAGACGACAACAACAAAAACAACTATTATTATTATTGTTGTTGTTATTATTATTATTGCTATTATTATTGTTGTTGTTATTATTTTTATTTATTAATTATTACTATTGTTGTTGTTATTATTATTAATTATTAATATTATTGTTGTTGTTATTATTTTTATTAATTATTATTGTTGTTGTTGTTATTTTTATTTATTATTATTATTATTTTTTTTTTATTTTTGTTGCTGCTATTATTATTATTGTTATTGTTGATGTTATTGTAATCTGATACGAAAGCCATTTATTAGCATTGGATGGAGCTAGCTAATTCTTACATGTTATAAATCAAAACAAACATACACCACACATGCATGCATACATACATACATACATACATACATACATACATACATACATACATACATACATACATACATACATACAAAACAGACAGACCACATTCGTTCTATAAGAATTACTGTTTTAATTCAATGCTAATCTAATCTTTTTTGTTTAAACATTCGTATGTCGATAGCCGTGTGTGTTTGTGTGTGTGTGCTTGTGTGTTTGCTTGTGTGTGTTCTGTGTGTGTGTGTTGTGTGTGTTTGTTGTGCATCTTTGGTTTTGGTATGCTGAGCCAAAACATGCCTAGGTCAAGAAGAAAGAATTATAAGAAAAATATTTTTTTAATTTTTAGAGTCTTTGTTTGTCTATTTATCATTATTATTATTATTATTATTATTATTTATTTTTTAAAATGTGTGTATGCACTTTAAAATAGATTAGATAAATATTTGAAAGTTTTTTCTGAAAGGAATTTTAAACGTTCATTCATCCATTGCATTCTTTCTGTCGTTCAGTTTGGTACATTTTGACTTCCATCCACCCATCCATTCAGTCATGCATTCAGTTATGCATTCAGTCATGCATTCATTCATGCATTCATTCATTCAGTTATTCATTCACTAATTCATTTACAAAGTCAGTCAATCAGTCAGTAAATCGTTGTCATTAATTCATTCAAAGATTCTTTTTTTCTTTTATTCATTCATTCAATCACCCTTCCACACACACACACACACACACACACACACACACACACACACACACACACACACACACACACACACACACACACACACACACACACACACACACAAGAAAATGCATGAACAATCAATACAATACAACACAGTACAGCACTAAACATGCAAGTATGCAAGTTATCATTCATGATTCGACTAGATTTGTTTGGGTTAACACACACACACGCACACACGCACAAACACGCACACATACGCACACACACGCGAACATACTAGTCTAAAGCCCTCTAGATAAGTTTCAGTAAATAGTGAAGATAGGATAGGACAGAAGAGCATGTATTTTTCATTCGAATAAAATACTACCAATACTAATGATTATTATAACTAGTAAAACAGAGAGAGAAAGAGAGAGAGAGAGAGAGAGAGAGAAAGAGAAAGAGAGAGAGAGAGAGAGAGAGAGAGAAAGAGAGCGAGAGAGAGATGTGTGTTTATCAGCGTGTGTGCGTGCATTTATATATAAAACTGTTTAACTGTTAAATGAATTCCTTATCAAAGAAAATTCAACACCATCTTAATTGATTCCAACATCTTATAAAATATCTCAAAGTTTGTGCATGTGTGTCTGTTTGTGTGTGTGTGTATGTGTGTCTGTTTGTGTGTGTGTGCGTGAGTGGGTGTGTATGTATGTATGTGTGCATGAATAGATGAAATATTCAGATTACGACTACTACTAAAATTGCTGCTGGTACTTCTACTGTATTCGTAGTAGTAGTAGTAGCCGTAGAAGTAGTAGTAGTAGTAGTAGCCGTAGAAGTAGAAGTAGTAGTAGCCGTAGTAGTAGTAGCCGTAGTAGTAGTAGCTGCAGTAGTAGTAGTAGTAGTAGTAATAGTAGTAGTAGTAGTAGTAGTAGTAGTAGTAGTAGTAGTAGTAGTAGTAGTAGTAGTAGTAGTAGTAGTAGTAGTAGTAGTAGTAGTAGTAGTAGTAGTAGTAGTACATGATTTCGATTATGAACACTCATTATTACAACTACTGCAGCCATATGCTTTTGTGCTGAATAAACAGGCGATTGAACTAATGAATGAATGAATGAAAGAATGAACGTACAAATGAATGAATGAATGAATGAAAAAACGTACAAGTGAGTGAATGAAGGAACGAATGAAGGAATGACAGATGAATAAATTATTATTGATCAAATGTATGAATGAATGAATAAAATGGGCCAGGATGAATGTGTGAGAAATTGAACTAACGAATTAATAAAAATAAATGAATGAGTGAAAATGCACGGATGAATGAATGAATGAAGGAATGAATGAATGAATGAATGAATGAATGAAGTTAAAACGTATAAAAGCCTTTTAATGATGGTTACACTTAATGCTATTTGAAACAATAAGAATGGAATTATTAATTAATATTACTTCAACCTCCTTAACTAACAGACTAAATAACTAGCTAACAACAACAACAAATATAGCAACAACATTAATTATTATTCATGTTTTTATTGTCGTTATTATAAAACAATAAAAATAATAACCACAACAACAACAACAACAACAATGTTGATAAGATTAATAAGTTGGTCTGTGATCATTAAAACTTCGTCTTGAACGTGCACTTGCAGGTCTTAACGAATGCATTTACAAGAGAGGCAATAAAAACAACAACTACTGCTGCTACTACTACTTCTACCACTACCACTCTTACTACTACTACTACTACTACCACTACCACTTCTACTACTACCACTACTATTACAACAACTACTACGACTACTACTACAACTACCACTACTACCACTCCTACTACTATTACTACTATGTTTGGCATTAATGAAATCGGTTGAATAACTTGCGTAACATATTGTTATATATATATATATATATATATATATATACATATATATATATATATACAACATCATCATAATCACGTGACTAACCATTTGGATTAGTTTATAGTATCTTTGTATGGCCGTCTTCTTAATATCGCCCACCTTATCATCCTGTGAGTACGGAATGGTCAGCTTCATGCCATCAATAAGGACTACTACCTTCATCATCGTTTAATTTATTGTTCTTTGTTGTTCCTTGTTCTCTTTTTATTCTTTGGAGGTGAGGATTAGGTAGAGAATTATGGTATGACGTCATAGTCCCCTGAAAGAGAAGAATGATAGCAACAACAACATGGTTAGTGTTGTCGTCATCGCCATTGTATTTCGCTTTTATGATTAACAACAACAACAACAAAAACAACAACAACAATGGTAATAATGATAATAATAACAATACTATTATTAACCATAATAACAATAGCAGGAAAAAATAACAATAACCCACCGTCTGACGCTAATAAATGATTAAAAATATCTACAAACAACAACAACAACAATAATAATAATAACAACAATAATAATAATAACAACAACAACAACAACAACAATAATAATAATTATAATAACAACAACAACAATAATAAGCCTAAATATTTACACAAGAATTTAATCTTGAAAAATATTGATGCAATCTCTATCAATTAAAACGAATTAAAAAAGCATCTACTCTACAGAATTATTAAAACCAAATGTTTGTATGTATGTATGTATGTTTGAATATATGTATGTACGTGTATGTGTGTATGTTTGAATGTAGGTATGTATATAGGTATCATATCTGTTTATGTGTGTATGTATAGGTACATGTGTGTTCATGTTGCTACATGTATCTACCTACCTGTACACATATCAATACATACATACATACATACAAACATACAAACATTCACACACAGAAAGAGAGAGAGAGGCACACACAGACATAACATTATTGCAAAAACACATGCACATACATCCAGCTTTGTTTTAATTAACTTTCCATTAACCAGCTCAACATAGCAATATATTAAATCACTTTGAAACACCCCTGTATACTTACTACATTAGTAGTAGTAGTAGCAGTAGCGGCAGTTGTAGTAGAAGCAGTAGTAGTGGTAGTAGCATCAGTAGTAATAGTAGTAGACTCGGTAGTAGTAGTAGTGGTAGTAATCGTAGCAGTAATGGTAGTAGCAGTAGCAGTAGTGGTAGTAGCCGTAGTAGTGGTAGCAGTAGTAGCCTCAGTAGTAGTTGTAGTAATCATAGCAGCAGTAAATATAGTTTGTAGTAATATTATATTCTATATTGAAATTGTCTGACTAATCATTATTTTCATTATTATTTTTATTATTGTTATTATTATTGTTATTATTATTATAATAATTATTATAAATAAAATGGTTATTTATAATGATAATAACCTTTTTTCGTGATTTTTAAATTCCATTTCGTTGATTTATCAGACTCTTAAATCGAAAAATTGTATGTTGCTAGAAATTTGATAAAATCACGCCGAATAATAATAACAAATATAAAAAAATAATAATTATAATAAAAATAATATAATTTTGAAATCACTACATATAATATAATTTAACCGTCATATAAATAAAATCCAGCTTCATATTAATGCACTGTGCACAATGATTGTTATATAAACAGAATATATAATATGTATGTATGTATGTATGTATGTATGTGTTTGTATGTATATGTATGCCAAAATACGTCTTATAAATGAACGTGCATTTATTTATAGTAAACACATAAAAGTCAGCGTTATACAAATTCATCATTTATATATATATATATATATATATATATATATGTGCGTGTGTGTGTATGTATCTGTGTGTAAATTTATATATTAAAATTTGTGTGTTCAATCAGTCAGTTGAGATTTGTTTATATTTAACGTTTAATGTGTTTGTTGTTGGTTGTATGTGTGTGTGTGTGTGTGTGTGTGTGTGTGTGTGTGTGTGTATGTATTTGTGTATGTGTGTGTGTGTGTGCGAGCGTAAGGTTTGTTTGTAGATGTCTTTAGTGCATGTAAACTCACATTTATATTACAAATCCCAAAAAAACAAAAATGGAATCAAAATTATTAAGTAATCAACTCTTTTACATTTATATCAGAATGTATGCATGTTTGTATGTGCGTGTAGAGATGATCTATTTGTATACAAATGCGTGCGTGCAACAATATAATTGTATTCCTCTATTGTATCAATCAATCAAACATTCGTATCTATAAATACACTGCATATATCTATATATATAATTATATATACCTATATTCTGTTTATTCATTCATCTATTTGTACCTGTCATATTCTTGCTTACTGCTTCTTATTTGTGTGCAAATGTTTGTAAACATTCGTCATTTTGTATGCGTGTGTGTATGTATGTGTGTATGTATGTGTGTGTGTGTGTGTGGGCGGGCTTTGCTCTTGATTGACATCAGCATTGGATCGTCCGAACGATAATCAGTTGATCACGTCTTTATAATAATTTAATAATAATTAATATTATTATTAAAAGTATTCGTATATGTATATATATATACATGTGTATGTTTATATGTATTTGTGTGATTTTGTATGTGTATATATGTATGAACACGTTTTGATGAACAAGCCGTGGTTAGGCATGCAATCGTTTCCGAGTTCAACTTTTATCTATGTCCCTGGTCTCGCACACTCATGTATCTAGCAGCTCCATCCATGTGTATATGTATGTATGTGTGTGTGTATTTTTATATGTAAGTGTGTCATTTCGTATGTGTGCACATTTGCATGTACGTGTGATTACATTTGTATGTATGTGTGCATACTTGCTTCTTTTGGATAGATTTTTGTATGTTGGACAGTACGTAATTTTGTACATTGGTTTGGGTTTGTATTATTTTTGTGTATATATTTGTATGTATATATGTATATATTGTATGTACACACATACACTTACATACACGCACGCGTATTTGTATGCATGTGTATATAATTCACGTATTTTAACTTTTTTTTCAAAGAAAAAAAAACTAACCAACATGAAAGGTTTTGGATGTTGTTAAGTTGGGAAACTTTCCTTACAAAAATAATTCAAAATAGCGGCAAGTATAAAAAATTCGAAAAACTTAAAATGAAATTTGGCGTTTGTATCTGATACTCTCCCTCTCCCTCTCTCTCTCTCCTTCTTTTTCTCAAAAGACCATTGAAAATGCGCAAATATCAATTAATATACAAACAAATTCCTCAAATTATACACTACATTATTGATTTACACTGTAATAACACACGCACACACACACACACACACATAGAGGCACACATACACTCACACACACACATGATAAAAAACAGTTCTAATTAAAACTACAAGAACACTTAATATCATTATTACCTCTCTCACTCTCTCTCTCTCTCTATTTTTTCTTTCTTTCTTTCTTCTCTATCGGATATGTATGTTATAATTCAATTTCTCTCTCACTCCTAATTTACATAAAAAATTTTTCATCGTAAAAAAAACTTGAAAATAATGGAATTTGAAATAATTTCGACATCACTAAAACAAAAACAGCAGCGACGACAAAAACAACGACAAAAATGACGTCACTATTAAAAAAAAACAATCAACAAAATTCAATCAACAACAGAACGAAAATCACAGTACATAAACTAGCTGATGGGAAAAAGAAATTGAATACAATTTCCCTAGTTAACAATTTCAATATTGGCGACAATTATAGAGATAATAATAAAATTGTGTGTGTGACTGTGTGTATATGCGTGTGTGTGTACGTGTGTGTTTAACAAAATGATAATAAAGATAATACAATTATACAATTATTATTATTATTAAATCAAAAATTATCATAAGTCTTACCAATGCATTTGTCTTTATAAATGGACGGTTTCAATATATATATATATATATATATATATATATATATATATACATATATATAAAATGTATATATATATATACGTACACACATACATATATATATACAGTATTGTATGAATTATATATATATATATATATATATATATATATATATATATATATGGACAATTTAAATTTGGTAGAATTCAAACAATACTGTATATATATATATATAAATATATATATACATATATATATATATATATATATATATATATATATATAAACTGTAAATTAATAACAAGAACAACGAGAAAAATAACAGTAATGGTAAAAACAGAAAATTTTACAAATTTCATTCAAAATAAAGAATTTTTTATTTTTTTAAATTTATTGAAGAAATTAATTAATTAACAATTTAATTAATCAGTTAATTTTTTAATTTTCAAAAGAAGATTCAGAAACTTCATATTTCTAATTCATTCCTATATATTTATAAAATAAATGAAATGAAAACAATACAGCTGAAATAAGGTCATTGTAAAGCTAAAATCAATTGAACAGCAATCATACATATAAAAACAAAACATACAACAAGAATATAGAATATATGTATATATAAATATAAAAATGTATATATTCTATTAATCACATCCCTGGATTTTTATAGACAGCCACGAAAATAATGGCCACAACGACAATTAGAAAGATGATAGTCGAAACAATGCACTTGACATTATTTGCAAACTCATTGCCGGTGATCTTGTAGGAAATTCTTGGCACGTTGTCCGACGTCTGCTGCTGGGCCTGCTGATAATCCGGAGAATCCAGATTAGGGTACGTGTACATCATCCCGGAACTGGGATCGGCCGATTTAATTGGTGTCGAATCTGTCACGTTAATAATTGTGAGCATTTTTTTGTCATCTTGTGATTTTCTTTTGTCCGGACTTCCGAAATTGCTGCTTGCTGGGTGGTGGTGAACGGCTGAAGAGGTCGATGGCAAATTGAACTGATCGTCGTCGATTAAATAATCATCCATTTTGTTGTTCAAAATTGAACTTTTTTAAATTTTAGTTTACAAACTTTTGATTAATTTAAGCAGTGAACATGGTAATTTTGTTAAAATTTTAACCAGAAACTTTCATAAAACACTGTTCTAAAAGTGAACCGCTAAAAATGGATCTTGGTTATAAAATTTAAATATCAAACATAATTTAAAAGTAAATTTTAGTAGTGAGCTATTTCAAAACTTTCAAGTAGTTTTTTAATTAAATTCATTTGATAAATAATAATTTTTTGCTTGGAATAAAAATTTAAACTTTTATTCAAGCGTTTTTTAATTGAAATAGTTAAAGTATTTCGTTAAAAAACAATTTTAAACAATATTAAGTTGTTTATAGTGAAAAGTAAACTTTGGAATGGGTGAGAATTCCTAAACTTCATTTTCAGATTAGAGATTTAAAAATGGCCGATCTCCAGTCGAAATACCAAGTTCTGGCCACAGAATATGCCAAGGCCTGTTTACAATTTTTTAGTAATCAATTAGAAAAGTCAACCATTATTGTCAAAAATAATTTAATTTGTTGTTTTCTTGGATCAAAATTTAATATAAAAATAAATACTAAATAAAATTAGCATTGGAATGTGATTGGCATTGATTTTGTGACACCCCCAAAAAGACCAAAATAAATTGATTTTTTTTAAATTCTTATTTTTTTCAACTAAAAATTGACAGAAATTACTTTGATTCATTTTTCTAATTGAATTAGTCATTTTTTAAAAACTTAAGGAAGGTTAATTGTTAATAATTAAGATTCATTTATTCATGTTTTTTTTATTTTAAATTCAATTTTTAGGTGAGGGCTCAAATTTCTGTACTAAAGAAAGCAGTCCTAGATGAACAGTCATCCAGCCAGGGATTAAAAGTTAATTTAATTTTGAATTTATTTTAATTTTTTTTCTAAAGTAATTTTATATATATTTTTTTAAGATTAAAAAAACTATTTAGGAGCAGTTGAAGGAAAGGGACCAGATGATAAGGAAGCACGAACAGGAGTTGGAGAGTTTAACGTTCAGGAATCAGCAGCTGGAGTCAAGGGTTACCATTCTGCAGACTGAACTAATTAGTGTTGGGTCCGGGAAAAGTAAAAAGGTTTGTAGGAACGGGCTGTTTATGTGAAAAAATTGACAATTTTATTAACAATTTTGGGAATTAATCCATTTATTCATTGTTTTTTTTTGTTATTTTTTATTTTTTTAAATTTTCAATGAACATTTTGTGTGTTTTTTTTGGGTTTTTTCAATTTAATTTTTAATAAAAATTTTATTTTATCAATTATGATAATTTTTATTTATGTTTTTTATCTTTAATTTCAATTCGTTTTTCTTTTTTTTAATTAATCAATCTCTCTCTCTCTCTCTCTCTATCTGTACCATGGATAATTGGATAATAAAAAACGTGATAAAACAACAATGATGACAACAAAGAAAAACTCATCATCATCGGCGCCATCATCATCCTTATCATCATCATTGACGTCATCACTGACGTCATCATCGTCGTCGTCATTGGCAACTACGTCATTGTTATTGACATCATCAAATCATCATCATCATCATCATCACCCCAAACACACAAATGACATTATCGATGAGGAGTTATTCATGAAGATCGAAGAAAATGCTAGGCTACACAAGCAGGTCCCAAAACAATAATAACAATAATAACAATATTAATAATAAAAATAATAGTTTTATCCTTTTTTGTTTGTTTGTTAGTAGATTTTATTTTTGTTTATTCATTTATTTTTATACGTGTTTCTGGTAAGATGTTTTGTAATCAATGCAATGAATTAAGACACCGACCGTGTAATGTATTCAGTCAAACATTGTAGTAATGTACTAAAAATCACGCACGCACAGACACACTCACACATACAAACACACATACATACATACACACATACATACAAACACACACATACAAGCACACTCACACATATACAAGCACACACACACATACAAGCACACACACATATACACACACACACACACATATACACACACATACATACATATAGGTAACAGAACTTGATAACCAACACCATTCCGAAATTTCAATACTGGAGATGAAGATCAAAGCATTGCAAACTGACCTAGATAAACGAGCAACTCTATTGGACGATTTGAAATTAGGCCACGAAGATAAAATGAAGAAATTAATGGAGGAAAAGAATTCTTTAGAAGTCAATAATAATAATAATAATAATTATTATTTTTAATATTATAATTTTATTATCGTTATTATTATTATTTATTTAGAGCAAATTGGCTGAACAATCTGCATTGGTTGAGAGAACATTAGAAAAAACTGACCAATTGTTATTATTTTTTCATTTTTTCATTCTTTCATTCATTCATTCGTTCGTTCGTTCGTTCATTCGTTCGTCCATTTATGAATTGATTTGTTGATTTAATTCAATCATCCAACTTTTCATTTGTTCATTCATTTATTGATTTGTTTGTTTGTTAGTTCGTCTGCTCGTTCATTCGTTCATTCATTCATTCATTCATTCATTCATTCATTTATTCATTCATTCATTCATTCATTCATTCATTCAGAGAGAAAGAGTTAAATAATGTTCAGACTAAGTTAACATTGGAGAATGAGCGTCTGGTGAAAATTATTAATGATAATATATCCTTTATTGATAATTGTTAGTATGCAAGCATGCATGCATGTATGTCTGTCTGAATGTTTGTTTGTATGCATGTATGTATGTATGTATGTATGTATATGCAGATATATATGCTTATATATATACAAATATAATTTAAAATTAATTTAATAAGTAATTACCATCATCATAGTTGTCATCATCATCATCATCATCACTCCTGGCACACAGCCGATGAAACCCTCACCATTTTCAATCTCTCGAAAGTCCCCCACCCCTCGCCTTCTTCATCATCAAAGATAGACTCCACCCACATCCGTGACCTCATTTTCCTAGCCAACCAAATCATTTCTGAAGAAATGATGACCTCATTTGAGGCCATTTTCGACGCCATGCAGGCCAAATCTATTGACCCAAAGTTGAACTCTGACTTATTTAAGGTTTATAAAGAACAGAGTCTGCGATTGGCTGAAAGGCCAACCTACATCCAGCCAATCAGGAAAGGTTTTGCAACCTTGTGTGACCTATACAATGATAACAATGAAAATTCCACTCTGCCATTGGTTAGTGCCTGCTTTTTGAATTAAGGTTTTTCGTTATTTTCGTTTATTATGTAGTATATAATAATAATAATAATAATTATTATTATTTGTATAAATTATTCATTCCAGAATGTACAGACCTGCCTGGCTTCATTGTCGTCATTATGGTCAGACTTTGTTGATTACGTCAAGATGATCATATCATCCCAGCTACAATGGTAACGATGGTGATGATGACGTTACTGCTGTTGATGATGATGATGACGATGACGTCATTGTTGACGATGCTGATGATGAATAAATGAATATCAATGTTAATGATAATCTAAACAAGAATATTCATAACTTGTTAATGATTGACAGCTTGGAGGCGGAATCAATGCTATCGTCAACAACGTCTGTTTTACTCATGAATATTAATGAGCTGAATAAATCATTCATTTCATTCGCTGATACCTTGACCGCTATTCAGAGCTGCCTATCATCGTTAACATCGTCAACAGCAGCTGCAGCAACTGCTGCAGCAACATCGTCATCGTCGTCGTCATCATCAAACGCTACTATATTGGAATTGTCAAATGCTATTTTTAACTGGATGGAGGCGACAAATGGTTATGATAATGACGATATTTATTGATGATGGCGGGGCTGATGATGATGGTGATGGTGGTGATGTTGATGACGATTCTGATAAATATGACGATGATAATCTTTGTAATTTCTGACATTATCCATGCTACCTCACCTCTCGCCAACGTCATCACTATCATCATCACCATCGTCATCATCATCGTCGTCAGATTTATCTCGAAGTTTTGGGGCAAAATTGAAGACAGTCGAAGAGCTGCCGACTTGCCACAAGAATATAAAACTCCTGGACGAAAGGCTGAATGGCAGTATCATCAAATTGCACCATTCCATTCAGAAAGTGACGCTACTCTTATAACTCTTAGTAATTACTACTGCTGCTGCTACTACTGCTGCTGCTGCTACTACTGCTACTACTACCGCTGCTGTAGCTCCTACTACAACTACTTCTGCTATTATTACTATTATTTATATTACTACTAATGTTATTACAACTTATAATAATAATAATAATAATGACAATAATAATAATAATAATAATGATAATAATAATGATAATAATAATAATAATGATAATAGTCTTCAAACTTGCCAAACACAGCTCTCTTCATTTTTGTCCTTGAACGTCAATCAAATATCGTCATCAGTATCAGCATCATCGTCCACATCATCATTATCGTCGTCGTCATTGTTGAATGCACTGAGAAAGAGGGCCATTAATTATTTGGCTGCTGTATCTCAGGTCCGATCCGCCAATTAGCCAACCAATTATGTTCCTATTTGATTATATAATTAATTAGAATTATGATTATTTCTCTTTAACTTTGTTCTATCAAATGTCAGATGTCCACAAAACACACACCCACGTAAACACACAAGTACGCACGCACACACACACGCAAATGCGAATGTACGACGCATCAGCCATCACACCTCATTACATGCGGTGATAGAAAGAAGGATCTCTCTCTAGGATCTCGAACCTACTCTACTCAACATGCTTTAGCAAAACATTCTCTCTCTTTCTCCCTCTCTCTTTCTCCCTCTCTCTTTCTCCTTTTCTCTCTCTCCTTTCCTCCCTCTCCCTCTCTCTATCTCAGTTTTCTCTATATACACACGCGCACATATGTATATATATCCTAATGTAGAATGTTCCATCTGACTCCGTTCCCCATTCCATTGCTATTGAGAATAAAAAAGCCATCGTAGCCTACATGGAGAGTAAAAGTGAACTGACGCAACAAGTAGTGATGATGGTGATGTTGCTGATTGCCGTGATGTTGATGATGATGATTGTGGTGGTGGCAGTGATGACGATGATGATTGGTTATAATGATGAAAACATCATCATCATCATTGTTGGCCTCTTGGATATTGAATTTCCGCATCATGCTTGCCGGGCATCGTAATCATTACAATCACAATCAACACCAACAAAACTATCATCATCATCATTATCATCATTACGTGCCAAGGTTTCATCCCTTCAAGATAGACTGACAAAAGCTCAGCAAGAAAAAGAACATTGGAATCTCGAGGCTCAACTGATGACCGCAAGATTTAATAAGGAAGTTCAAGTACGTACGTATGTATACGTGTGTGTGTGTCTGTCTGTGTGTGTGCGTGCTTATACTATCGCGTGATCTATTTGTTGTACGATCGTCGTGTGACGAGTCAGTCAGATGATGTTTATACGTTGAGAACTGTTGAGACACTCATGGCTCATAAAAAAAAACAGTTTTTAAAATGCTGGACTGTTGGATCGATTAAATGATTGATTGATTGTTTGAGTGAGTGAGTGAGTAAGTGAGTGGGAAATGGATTGACCATCTCACTGACTATTTAACTGACTGACTGGCTGGCCGATTGATTGACTTGACTGGTTGATTGAGTTAATAACAACAATTGATTGATTGGTTATTTCAGAAAGTTGAGGTGCTAACCAAAAAAGTTGAAGAGTTATTATCGACACCACCGACACGTCACCTTCATGCTGCTACTACTGCTACTACCACTACTACTACTGCTGATACTACTACTACTAATACATCATCATTACTTTCGAATACAACAACTGCTACTAACGGCGCTTCTAATGCTAGTCGTGACCAAAAAATTGTTTTGGCCAGTACTACTGATGTGGTAAAGTCTGAGTTAGGCCTAGTATTGAATACTAATGTTAGTAGTAATTCGTTCGTTCGTTCGTTTGTTATCGTTGTTTTCATCGTTGTTTTGTTTCTTTCGTTCGTTGTTAATACTAATTTCGTTGTCGGTAGTGCTTGCTGTGAAGTAGTAGTAGCAGCTGCTGCAACAACAGCAGCAGTAGTAGTAGCAGTAGTAGTGGTAGCAGTAATAATAATAATAATAATAATAATTTTAATGATCCCTATCACAGTTAGGGAATATCAACATTGTGGACAGAGACAGGGACGAACGACAACCGCCACAACAGCAGAAGCAGCATCAGCAACGACAAGTCGAATTAGAAACCGAGTGGGACCAAACGCGGGAGAAGATAGTGATGGAAAATTACGAGAGGAGGATCAGCGAACTGATTGCTAATCTCCAGCTGGCCGATTCTAAAGCGCTATATTTCAATTCCGAGGTTCTTTCCTGTTTTGTCAATTAAAGAAATATCAAATAACATGTAATATGAATATTAATAATAATTGTTACAACGCAGTGTAAAGCTATCCACAAGCAGCTGACCTCGACTAACCTGGATAGGGAACGCCTACGAGTTGACCTAGTTTCCTCGAATGACGTCATGTCTCGTCTGAAAGGTCGTGCTGATGATGATGATGATAATGACGCTTCGGAAATGATAATGATGATGCTACTACACCATCATTATATATTATTATTGTTGTTATTATTGTTATTATTATTTTTATTGTTAAAATGTTAGACGAGTTGCAGACGACGACGAAGAATTATGAGGTGCAGCTGAGCCTGATGAGCGAACACCTGGCCACAATGAACGAGAAGTTGACCTCGCAGAAAGATGAAATCGACGCCCTCAAATTCAACATACAACATCAGCAACAACATCAGCAGCAGCAACAACAACAAAAACAACAACACCATCACAGCCCTGTTGCCACTTTGCTATCGTTATCAGGATCTGGAGGCGGTAGTAAGGTAGTAATGATCTTTAGGGTGTTGATTGTGATGGTCATTACCTTCATTATAATTATTATTCAATAGTGATGAAAGCGTTGATGATGACGATCTGTATTTTAATGATAATGATGAAAGTAAGTATGTTGATGGTGAAAATGTTGATGGCGATCGAATGATAGATTTGCATGAATGATGGCAACTAACTTGTATATGAGATAGTTGCACTTCTTCTAGAGCTTGATAAATCAGTAATAATAATGGAGGTGGAAACTTCTTTCAGCCCGTGCTATAGATGATAATATTGTATTTCATATAATAATTTATAATAATAATAATTTTGTTATCTCTATAATTATTTTTTTTCCAGAAAAGCAAATGAAGAAGACAATAGAAAGATGAATTCCATAAATGAGAAATTATTTCAAATATGATTATGTGACAACATACGTATATAGCAAGTTATTCGTTCATTGTTTATTCATTCCCATACGTTAATTAACAAATTGTACATTGATATTACTACGATTAAGTTGTAATTGTTACTGTTATGATAGTCTTAATGTTTCATGTATGTATATATGTTGTATGTATGTATGTTCATGTATTTCACCTCTTTCTCTCTCTCTCTCTCTCTTTCTATATATATATTATTTGTATATATATATATATATATATATATATATATTATTTGTATAGACGTTCATTCAGATGAATAATACAATTTTATGGTCACCCATCCAAGTTGCTGGCCGCCATCAGCTAACAAGTTAAGCAATGCTGGAATAAAGTCTATCGCGGCCAATAACCTGGAAAGGGTGACCCTAAAATTATTCCAGAGGGCAATAGATATAGATAAAATTGTCATAAAATTACGAAAATGTGCACATGAAATTTGCGATGGAGATGAATTTCTGGAGAAGGCGAGAACCTTGACAGCATTCGAAGTCGGACTCCTCCAAATGTTCATCCTGTCATGTCGAAACTTCTTTGAAAGTCGTTCCACTTCTGATCAGTTTCATAAAATTCAATCTTACTTTATCCTGTTTTTACTAAGGGCATCGCCAACATTTTAGCTTGCTAACACGGCTGATGGCCCTCTACCTTTCTAAACATTTGCTCATGTCTAAATATGCCAAAAGAATGTACAAGTACATACATTAGCACATTCATTCATTCATTATCTATTTTTCATTCAGTTATTAACTAACTCATTAATTTATTCAATCATTCGTTCACTCAATTTGATATTTGACAGAAGAAGACTATTTAAAATTTATAATTAAAAAAAGTACACAATCTAAAAAGCAAATTGTCTTATAACAAAGACAATAATCATAATAATAATAATACAACGATAATAATAATAACTACAAATAATAATAATAATAATTTAGTAAAAAGATTTAAAGCGGCTGAAGACAGGCTTCGGGAAAATATAAGGCACGCACAACAGTAATAATAATAAGTACTAAGTAGCAGATGCCTAGGAGTAAGGACGTAAAATAACTGACTCACAACTAATTTAACAGAACTTATATATATATATATATACATATATATATATATATATATATATATATATATATATACATATACAAACATATATATATACATATATTATATATACAAACATATTTCATTTACAAAGATAGACAGAAAAATTGATTAATGTGATTTCTATAATGAAGGAATAACAAAATTATATATATATATATATACTAAAATTAACTAACAATCACAATAATAATAATTATTATTATTTTAATAGAGATAATAATTGAAATGGCAATAATAGAAATAATATTAACAACCACACACATATATATATATTTATTTATATTTATATATATACATACATATGTATGTTAAAAACTAAGTTGAATGACGCACTGTGTTGTTTATGATGATAATAATAAAAGACATGTAAAAAACATATATATATATAGATATAAATGGCTGGAAGAAGACCATAATTGATGCAATAGTTGATAAAATCTACCGAATTTTCAGCTCTTGAAAGTTTAAGGTCGTGTTTTACAATATTTCTAAGAGTAATTTCATAATTACGGTGTATATGAGCGTATACATGTGTATGTGACCTATATACAATTCACCATAAACACCAAAGATTTTCTTGTTAATTTGATAATAGCTATAAAGCTACTGTTAGAAATAGTGGAAAGCTCAACCGTAAGAGCTTAAAATTCAGTAGATCTTATCAAAGACACACACGCACACACACACACACACACATATATATATATATTTTACCACGTACACTGACATGTATATGATAATAATTAACAAAGTGTTTATTATAACTAATGTATATATATATATACTCCATCCATATATATTTATATATTCTCCATACATTGTGCATATAAATACATTTTATTCAATATACACACAATACATACATACATAAATCCATATATAGAATTAATTCATAGTATATATAAGGTTTTAATTGAAATTACAAATGATAGCAAAGTGGTTATATAATTATACTTACATACATACATACTTACATACATACATACTTACATACATACATACTTACATACATACATACTTACATACATACATACTTACATACATACATACACAAACAACACACGTATAAAAAACACAAGATCTATCTCATCATTGAAATCAACACGGCACAGATTATAAGGTATATGAATGAAATAATGAATGAATGTAAAAATATGCTCAAGCAGATGAATGAAAGAGTGCTCTGGATGAATAAAATAGTGAATGAATGAAAGATAGATAAAGTGAATAAATAAATGAATGAACGGGCGAATTTCTAATATCTTAATTTATCTCGTGTCTGCGAAATTACTACATTCATACCTTTACTGTTATATATAACCGGAAGCATGTTATATACGCAAGCTATATGCAAGTATATATATATATATATATATATATATATATATACAACAATATATATATATATATATATGTGTGTGTGTGTGTGTGTAAATAATCGGTTATATATTACATTCATGATCACTTTTTTTCTTATTCTTCCTCTCTTTTTCTCTCTCTCTATTTCTCTCTATACTTCTATATATTACCACTGATAGTATTACTACCACTACTGCTACTACTACCACTACTGCTGCTATTACTGCTGCTGCTACTATTACTAATGCTGCTGCTACTACTACTACTACTATTGCTGCTGCTACTACTACTGCAACTTGTGTAATTGTAATTACTAGCGTGACTACTACTTAGATAGTTTACTGATGACTCTTATGAGGGCTCCATTCTCATTTTTCAGTTTCTGATTTTCGTTCTTCAGATTCTCCATCACCTGTGAGAGAAAATAATTTAAATAATAATTATGGCGCTCATAATTATTATTATAATATTATTATTATGATTATTAATTATATAAATAAATAAGTAAATAAATATACATAATGGTTTATTGCTCGTTAACTATAGTTCAATTCCTTACTTTTAGGTCATTCTCTAGGTTTGCCACTTTCTTCTCCAAAGAATGATAATCCTATTTTGGAGTAAGCAAAAATTACTGTTAATAATTATGAACTGCAGAGAACAAAGTTTGTCTGCTGCTACTACTACTACTACATGCTGCCGCTATTACGACCATTACCTCTACTACTACTACTACTCTTACTACTAATACAACTAACACTACTACAATAATAATGATGATGATGATAAGTATGATATGAAATGATATTATTTCATCAATTTTTAAAAACTGAAGCATATATGAATGAAGTTCACTTTCAGTTTGTCCTCTAACTCTGCTATCTTTCTCTCGCACGAGCGCTTCTCCTGAGATGGCAATAAAAAGAGTTATCAATACCATTTCACATCATCATCATCATCATCATCATCCTTATCATAGTCATCATCATCATCATCTTCTTCATCTTCATCATCAAACTCATTAGTATCATAATCATCATTATCACCATCACAATCATCGTCATCGAAAACTTACCCTGGCCTCGCTACCACCATAAACTTCACTGGTATTAGAACTGGATGCTAATTGACTGTTGGCAACGTCCAATAAGATTTGAGTGTTGTGGAGATCGTTCTCTAATTGAGCGATTCGTTTCTGCTGCATTTCACTGGTGCACTTCTCATCTAGCCATAGCTAGTAAAAATATAAGTTTGAATTGAAGACTGCTGCTACTACTACTGCTGCTGCTGCTGCTACTACTACTACTACTACTAATTATAATAAGAATTATGTTAACCTTATGATAATCTGTACCAGTGTTAGCAACGAACGATGAAGATGAACCAGTGGTTGAGTATTTGGAAGAATCGAGAGTAGCCAGGTGACTAAGAGGCCTAGATGAATAAGAAGCAGCTACATTAGCTGCTGTGGCTGCTGTGGCTGCTGTTATAAACTGCTGCGACTTCTGTGGCTGCTGTTGTGTAGCAGTGGAGAGTGTACTCCAGCGAGATAACGAGTTGTTGTTGAATCTACGTGGCGATGACGAGTTTTGTTGTTGTTGTTGTTGCTGCTGCTGCTGAATAAGTGAGGAATATCTAGAGATAGGCGCTGTTAAGTACGACAGCGTTGTCGCTGATGTCGTTGTCGTTGATGTCGCCGCTGCTGTTGCGATGGCGTTGTAACTTTCACTTAGTTGTTTTAGAGAGTTTCGTAAGAACGCCGACGTAGTCGATAGAGTAGCCGTGGCTGTTGTAGCTGACAATAATGTTGACGTTGTTGTTGGCAGTGTTAGTGTAGCTGTTGATTTTGCAAAATCTACACTATCTAATGCAGTGACAATAGGAGAAGATGGTGTTGTTGTTGTTGTTGTTGATGTGTTGTATTTCATCGGATATAAATAAGATGACGGTTTTGGCTGTTGCTGGTCAGTTGTTGTTGCTGCTGCATCATCAGTAGTATCATTAGATTCAGATGATGGTATCTGTGGTGACGAGTGAGTGAAACGAAAAAGGATAAATAAACGAAGAAAAATGTTTGATAGATACTGTATCTAAATGTCAATAACATAGTATACGCCATTGCACACTTCAACAGCCACTACTACTGCTACTACAACTACTGCTGCTACTACGACTACTGCTGCTGCTACAGCTACTACAGCTACTGCTACTTATAAAAATAGTTACTTCTTCCAGACAAATCTTTCCAGTCGGTCTTCGGCTTTCTCTCTTTCTGCGAGACCTACTGGAACCCATCTTATACATACTATCATCATCTTGGTCTGCACGTTTGTTTGTATGTATGTATGTATGTGGTATGTGTGTTTGCATGTATGTATGTATGTATGTATGTGTGTGTGTGTGTAGTTATGTGTGTATGAAACGTATATATGTTAGTATAAGTAATGACAATAAAATTTAATTTACACACACACCTCTATATATATATATATATATACATACATACATATATATATATATATATATATATATATATATATATATATTATACTTATTAATTTCTTCTTTAATTATTAGTAATTGATGATATTAAATAATAATGATAATAGGACCTATATTATCATCATCTGCATCTGAATCAGTGACCTTTCTGGGCAAAGCAACATCATCATTCAGCTTGGTGATGAGTAAAAAAATTAATTAATTAATTAATTCATTCATTCATTCATTAGTTAATCAATTAATTAATACACACATTTCTCACTCTCTATCTTATACACACACACACACACGCACAGACACACAGACACACACACAGGTACGTACACACAAACCTTATCTCTCCTCTGCAACTTCCCAATGACACTAGCCACAGCATTTGCACCACTACCATTATTACCACTACCAATACCGAATGCAGCAGTATTGCTGCTAGAAGCAGCAGCTGCAGCAACTGCAGCAGTAGTACTAGAAGCGGCGGCGGATGTAGTAAAAATACCGCCAGAATTTTTACAGTTTATATCCCCATCACCTCCATAGGACAGCATATTTGCTTGTGTCTTATTTGGCTCAGAATCAACAACGCTATGCCTAGTTTTGTACGTAGTGGCAGCTGCCGTTGTTATGTCAACCATTGTTGTTGTTGTAGCTGCTGTAGTAGCCTCAGTATTGGCTGTTAGTGGCTGTGTTAGTAGTGACGATGGGTCCTTGTAAGCCGCTTTCAGGGAATCTTCAGCCTTCTGGATGTCTTCTTTGGTGACGCCCTGTTGAGTTGGTGAACACTTTTATGGTTGGTTTGTTGGTGGTTTTCTCACAATCGTCACTATCATCACCATCATACATCACTGCGCATCATCATCATCATCATCATCATCTTCATCATCCTCATCACCGACCTGTGTAGACCTTCTAGACTCTCGAGCTCGTTTGGCCTTCAGCTTCCTCTCCAACTCGTTCGATTCATCTCTCTTCACAACGTCGTTGATCCTTCATTTTGTTTAGTGTTGAATAATAATTAGTGGAATGAAAGAGCGAAATAATGAATGAACGAATGAAAGAATGATTGAATAAACGAATGATAGAAAAATAAGTAAATGAAAGAATGAAAGATCGAACAAAGAAAAGAATAAACGTACGACTGAATTATTAACCCTTATCAGTTTAGTGAAGTAACGTGTTAATAAATTAGTGGAATGAGTGACGGAGTTAATGAATGAATGAATGAAACAACATCCTCATCATCATCATCTTCATCATCACCTCTGATGAGAGGAAGCAATGCTCGCCAGGGCAGCTGCAGTCTCAGGTCTCAGCAGAGATGCATGATGTGGCGGAGATGGGGGGTTCAAAATACCACCACCACCGCAACCACCACCACCACCCCTACTATCGTTACCATTATCATCATTTGTAGTAACACTATCAACAGTGGTAGAGGTAGTAGTAGTAGTAGTGGTGGTGGTGGTGGTAGAGGTAGTGGCAGCAACTGTAGTATTTGTGGTGTTAGTAGTCGATGGACTTGTTAATAATGGTGATGCAATAGTTGTAGATTTATGGGTTGTAGCCAGAGGAATACGTGTCGGTGCTGTTGTTGTTGAAGTTGTTGTCGGCTGCTGTTGAGATTCTGTGGTGGCCATTGTGGTTGCTTCTGTAGATTCTGGTTTTTCCAAACTCTAATAATAAATTATTAACATATTGAAGGACAAGTCTACAAATTGTTTTTTAAAGGAGAATAGCCACCCACAAATTGACAGACAAATATAAAAATCAAGAAAGATAAACACATACAACCACACAAACAAACATATGCAAACACACACACACACAAACACACAAAAGCAAACATACCTTCCTCATTCTCTCGGCTTCAGTTAGCTTGATAACTTGATCAATGTCCGAATTATTCTCAGAGTTACTCGGTCGACGAAAGCCCATCCTCCAGAGGGCAGGATTGTCTGACCTCCTCAATATGTCACTGGCCAGATTAGGCGACCTCTTGACCTTCATATTTAAAATTATTTTACGTTAATAAGATCAATTATTTCAAAAAATACGTTAAAAACTGTATACAATTTGAAGATATTCTTCCAGATTTAATAAATAAATAGGTTGAAACTGTTAGGACAGTGTAGTTTATTATGAAAAACCACTCCTATCTCTAAAAGAGTTTCACCTTCATGCCCAACCAAGGTTTTTCCTCTGAAATCAGACTAAAACATTTAATGTAAAATAATAAAAAGAAAATTCAGTTGTTTTCAAAATTTACTTCAACATCTTGTTTCTCCCTCATCAAACTCTTCCTCATTGTCACACCGGAATCAGCAGCAGCAGCAGCAGCAGCAGCTGAAGGAACGGCAGAGTCTCTCATCTGCACATTAGCTGCTGCCTCCTTCCTTTCCAGTTCTGGTTTTTGGGTTTTTCCTGCAATGGTTTCACTTTTGGTAAGGTCACTACGCGACTTTCCAGAATCATCATTCTCTGCTTTCTCCATAACTGTGGCAATTTTGGTAGTAGCAGTGGTCGTAGAATCGGCTGGACTGTCTTTGTACAGTTTCTCCCGAATACTTTTTAAAAAGTCATATGTTGATCTCTCTTTAATGCTTGTCATCGTCGTTGTTGTCGTTGCTGCTGCTGCTGCTGAAGAAGGAGCCGTAGTTGTAGCAGCAGTAGTAGCCTCACTTGAGGTAATACTAGCGATAGAAGTATTAGTAATAGTAGCTGTAGTAGTAGCGGCTATATCGTCAGCAATGGCAAATTTAGTTTTCTCAAATTTATCTTCAACTTTATCCTCCTCGCCGCCATCATCAGATTTTCTTACAGCAACTTCCGATGACGTCACAGTCACGTCATCATCGGCGTCGTCGTCATTGCCAATAGCATCGTTATCATTACCGCCATCATCCTCTTCCTCTTCCTCCTCGCCATCGTCAACAGAGCCCATGGTTATTTTTTCATTCTCCTCGTTTTTCTTCTGCATACCTTTCATCTGGCCGACACTGATCCGAGTGATGGAACTCCTGTCAAGGGTTTAATAAGAGTTTGTGTGTGTGTGTATGTGCATGCCTCTCTTACTATCTCTCTCCTCTCTCTCTTCTTTTCTCTCTCTCTCTCTCTCTCTCTCTCTCTTTCTCTCTCTTCATAATCTTAACAATTAAAAAATATAAAAATAATTATAAATGTCGTTAGAGCAAGGACGACTAACTTTCTGCCTTTGTTGGAGTGTCTTATAAGCTTGGAACTTTCTCTATGCTGTAGTAGGATAAAAAATATAAAAAAAAATAATATATCAATAAAATAATAATAATAAATATGATGATGAAAACGAGAACATTTTTTCTAACAGTTAACTGTTTCTGCTGCAGTTCTTCAAGCAGTTGAACCACCTCTGCGTCGGCTACATCGAGAGCTGTGTTACCCTGCAGTATCAAGATACATACACATGTGGATACACACGCACAAGTACATACATACACACACATATATATATACACACACACACATATATATACACACACACACATGACACATGCATGTGTGTAACATTGTATACATATACATATATACATATATACATATACAAATGTATCAATCGATCAGATTCACTCATACAATCCAATAAAATAACCAACACACACACATACTTACACATACATACATAAACACAGACAGACAAACACAAACCTGACAATTAGAAATTTTCATATTGCAGTAGTTGTCGGCCAGTAGTTGGCAGGCCTCGACCTGTCCCCAATGTGCTGCCCCGTGAAGAGGGGTCCAACCTTCGTGATCTTTGGCATCTATGGGAGCGCCGGACTGTAAAAGCAATCTGAGTTTTTTGCCAATTAGTTAGTTAATTAGTTTAGGCTTAAGTTTAGTTTATAGATGGGGTTTGCAATGAGCTTTGGAACGAGGCACAATAATGCAACCACCATCTTCACTAACTTCATAACATCGACGTATCCTTTGACGGCAGCGACGTGCAGAGGTGTTGCCCCGGTTTTTTCATCAATGGATCCCCCATAAAAACCCTGTTCAACCCATTTTTTGGCGTCTGCCATCATGACACGTTCTTCTATCATTCGGGCTTCTGCATCATTTATACCTGGATGTTGTTGTTGTCATTATCATCATCATCATCAAATCCTTCCTCATCAACTATTACCAAATTATCATCCTCGTCATTATCATTATCTTAATCAACATCAACATCGTCCTTATTATCATTATCTTAATCAACATCAACATCATCCTCATCATCACCATCTTAATCATCATCATCACCTTGCTTGTCCATGGCGTCTCTGATTAGTTTGATCATGTCTTTGTTATCGGCTAGATCGATCGGCAGTTCGCAGTCACAATTTACGACGTCCAGCTTGGCTCCATGTTCTATTAGCAGCCTTTCAAGTAAAAGTAATAAATGAGTAAATGATATAAAATGAATTAGGCATAATTTTATCATTACAATCATCATAATTCACAACATTATCGCTCCAGTCGATGTTTTAAATATAAATTATAAATTATGAACATAAATTTCTCACATAAAATAAGATTTATACAAAAAATTCAGATTAAAAGTTAACTAAAAAATAAAAAAGTTTCCCTAACTTGGCAATATTGAGTACCCCAGATTGGGCAGCGGCATGCAGAGCCGTCCAGCCTTCGTTGTCCTTTATATTCACATTGATCTTCTTATCAATTAGGAATTTTGCCATATCGAAATCCTCATTAATGCATGCCTGAAATGAATTTTGCGGTTAATAAAAAGAGAGGCGTTTTGATTCAGAGAGAGAGAGAGAGAGAGAGAGAGAGAGAGAGAGAGAGAGAGAGAGAGAGAGAGAGAGAGAGAGAGAGAGAGAGAGAGAGAGAGAGAGAGAGAGAGAAAAGGGAGAGAAAGATACAAGTCAAGATTTATGTGATTTTTCTATGAGTTGTTTAAATACAGATCCATCCTAGATTTATTAGTAGAGATATTTTTTATTAGCAATACACATTATTTTATTTTAGTTTAGAAATAAAATAACTTTTTAAAAAAATTATTAATTATAAAAGTAACAAAAAAAAGTTTTAAGCAATACAAACCTGATGTAGGCCAGTCAACCCATCAATATTAGTGGTGTTAATATCCGTGTTGGAATTATTTAATATTTCCTCCACATCATCAGTGTTTCCACTGGTACAGGCGGCTAGGAATATGCAGCCATCTGGAAATCGTATTTTTGGTTTCTGCTCGGAATCGTGTGGAGTCTTGGGGCGGTTTGATTGACGTGCGCTCGTTGGCACATCACTGTTATTGGTGCCGTCACTAAAGGACAATTCGTACCTACGGATTTGCTCTTTTCTCTTTTCGAAATTATTCATCCGGTTCTCGACCACTGCCGCCATGACAGCATTTAAAAAAATAAAAACGTAAAAATATGAATCTAAAAATTTTTAGTTTATATAAAAAATAATTTAATAATGGAGGAAAATTAAAACAAAATTGCGAATGTTTTTATTTTTCGGTTTGAACTATTAATTATTGCCGAAAATGACCCAGGTGCAACTAACAACCACATTTTGTAAAAAATTTTTTAATAAGTTTTAAATTTCAATAATTCAAATAGTATTAGCAAAACACCACTTTTAAATGTATAGATACATTTACTTTATCACTCAAATTATCGATTAAAATAAATTTCTTAAATAAACGCCCGAAAATTTATAAAATTAAGCAACAATAAAAGAACATCTTACTTATGACATAAGTTTCAGAGTAATTAAACTCCATTTTTATTAAAACTTAAAACCACAAAATAAAACTTATACTTATACTTCCATATTTCTAAATATTGCCGTTGTATTTAATATTATCATGGATATATTCATAAGTATTATATTGATAGAAAACCACAGAGAAACACAAAGCCATCAATAAAACATGCTTGTTTTCCACAGTGTTCGTTTTTTTTCTTCGTCTATCATGGGTATTTTTTTGCTGAAAAAATGGTTTGAATATGAAATAGCTTACTATATGTATATATATACATATTCACACTTTATATGTACAGTACATGTATATATGTAGTTTTATCGTTAAGTTTATAGTATTTGGGTATGCTTATTATATACCTATACAGTCATCACGGTGTTATCTGCATTATTTATTTTACAACTGAGCTTTACAGTTTTCCAACAAAGAAAATACTGTAAAACTATTTAATCAGGTTTTCAAAACTAAATATTTAATAGATATGAACAAAATAATGATATAAAAACCAACAATGGGAAGATATAAACAAACAAATGAATGAATAAAAAAGAATAAACCAAACGCTTAACGTGCAATTTTGTCATAAATGTATCTACCCCGTTACAACAGTTTTTATCATTCATTTGCTATCTGTCGACCTTTCAAAAACTTCATTCACCACGATTATAGTTCAAATCCTATTGAGTACATAGGCTTTTCTACTTCGCCGTTTCTGATTTTAAAAAAATGAATTTGACACACGTTTTTATGAATATATATCTATATATGTAGAAGAAAAAAGTATAGCTGATAAAATTAAAAAAAATTAATTAAATCAGCTGCGTGTTCTTGCACATCTCCATAACGAATGGCCCTTTAAATCTGTTTATCATTATTTTCAGGCAAATTTCGTTAAAATAATCTCCAAATAATTAATTCATTTAATTATTTATTGAAAATTATTATTTGGATTATTTTTTAATTTAAATTTCTGATTATATAAATGACGTGTTAGGTGTCAATTCGTCACGAGCTTGCGGTTACACACGCACACAGGTAAAATTTTTATGACACACACAAGTAGCTTTATTCATTTTGCAAAAAAACAAATTAATAATAATATTTTAAACTATTATTTTATTAATTTTCAATAATTATTTTTTCAATATTTTTATCTTGTCTCAAATTAAAATTAAACTAAAATGAATTAACCGATATCATTTCATATGTTTTAAATTTCAAATTTTGACATTGCATGTAGTGTACTGTCACATTAGTTAAGTTTGCAACATATTTTTAATATTTAAATTAAATCAGAAAAATAAACACTTTTTTCGTTTTTTCTTTAGACAATTTTATAACACAAAATTTGTTAGAAACATCATTATTTACAAAGATTCTTAAATATAATTTTCCATAGGTAGCTTCTTAGATAAAAATCACATCCAACAAACACATAAAAAATGTCTGAAATTGTTGATCCTGAGTCTAGTAAATCAGTACCTGTGACTGGGGAACATGAGACAGCAGGCATTCACACATCTCCAAAAACAGTGCATAACAAAAGTCCTGATTTGAACACTCCTAGTAGAAGGATAGATGTTAGTGAAGGTGCAAAAGTATCAGTTGAGAATGTGAAATTCGAATTAGTTTCAAACCAGGCAAGTAAAATGCATCAAGTTTTTAGTGGGGATGATGTTGTCATAACAGCAACATCGGTGTCATCAGCAACAGCAGCAGATGATGTCATTAATGAACAAACATTACTAGACTCTCCAACAGCCATACCAATATCCAAAAATGTTGATGAAAATGTTGACTGCGTTATTAGCAATGAGGGAATAACATCATCAACAACAACAACCACAACCACAACAACAACAACAACAACAAACATATCAGAGCACGATACACTGGCAATACACGACACAGTCATAAATTCAGAATTTAATTTAACACAGGATAACTTAAAGCTAGCATCATTACCATCATCATCATCGTCTCCTCTAAAAGTATCATCATCATCACCACCGCCACAAACATCATCATCGTCACCATCAGTACCATTATCATCATCTAATAATGTTATTCCCCAAGTTCAGTCATCGTCGAAATCCTCATCACCATCTCATTATGTGGTAACGTCATCATCGACACCGCCGTCATCATCATCTTCAGCAGCAGCTCCATCGTCGTCGTCGTCGTCAACTGTAACAGCAATACAAATGCCTTCCAATGTTGATCAAGTAGTTGTTAATAATGTCAAAATGAGTGATGCAACTATCTTAACAACAACATCTACTGCAGCTTCAGAAGCTACCACACCAGCAGTTACAGTCGCAACTACAGCTACAACAGCAGCCGTAGTGGCTACGCCAGCAATAACCGCAATTATATCAGATGATCTGCAAATTGAAAATGTTAATGAAGTGATAAAAACGTCTGAGAATAGCAGTGTTGTTGCTGATGATGTTGCAGTGACAATTCTTCATAGTAGTCGAAGCAACGACATTGAAAGCATAACTAAATTAGTTAATACCCAAGTCTCCTCTACAACAACAAACTCAACAACGACAACGAATGACGTCACTACAACGACAACAGATGGCGTCACAGCAGCAGCAACAGATGACGTCACAGCAGCAGCAACAGATGACGTCGCAGCAGCAGAAACAGGTAATGTCGTTATTCTAACTACAGCATCATCACCAGTAACAACAACAACAGCAACAACAACATTACCAATAACATCAGAACCATCGGTTGTGTCGTCGTCGGCAGTTGAAAATGTTGCAGCTGGAGTAGCGGTGGCGGTAACGACAACACCGACAAGGACAACACATTTGAATGAAATTCAGGTAGATAAAGCTGTTGATGAAAGAACTGTTGTTGCTGGGGTTTCTACTGAAGGAGAAGAAGAAATTAAATTTAATATAAATGCCGTTGTTGTTGAAAATATTGCCAACAACACCAGCGACATCAGTAGCAACAACGGTAACTTCACTGGCGACCAGTTAGGTAAAGATGGAGAAGTTGTCAATGGCGTTGATGATCTACATAAGGATGCATTCATTAGCAACGACAACGTCATCAATAGTAATCTCACTAATAATTATAACGATAACAATAATGATAGTTGCGAAATTTTGAAGCCACTATCATCGCCACCACCAGCAGCAGCAGCAACAACAACTGCAACATCAGCAGCAGCTGAAGCAGTAACGGCAGCGGACTCGTCTTCATCGACGACAACAGTAACAGACACACAGGTAACTGTTACTATGAAGGATATCTTATCAATTTTGTCAGACCAAAAAGTTCCAGCAGCAATAATCTCATCAACAGTTGCCGCAACGGCAGCAGCGACAACGGCTTCAACTTCAACATCACCAGATACAGCAACATCATCTTCGTCGATTGCAAGCACATCATCTTCATCAGATGCAGCAGTAGCCACATCGCCATCAATTGAGGCAACATCAACGACAACATCGTCAGTTACGGAAACAGCAGCTGCAGCTGCAATGACATCATCTTCACCAGTTGCAGCAACAATAGCTGCTGCACCAGTAACAACAATTGTCACAGATACTGAACAAGCTGTCAAAAACCAACAACAGAACGCCAACAACAACAGCATCCAACAACAACGTGATTTGAACACAGCAACAACGACATCAACAACAACATCAACAAAACAATCATTATTGTTCCCAGGGAAAACACAGCTTGAAGAATTAGTGAAAAAGTTTACTAGCAACAACAACAGCATGGATAGTAAAACAAAATTTAAATTACTCATGGATCTAGTATATGCCGTTGATAGCAACAAGAGTACTGCAACTGCTGCTGCAACCACCGCTACTGGCGATAAAGACGTGTTGCTGTTGTTTAATAATCGAGATATTGTTTCAATAGTTCTTGGACTGGTTAGTGTTATAAACTTGTTGATGTTGTTGATGTTGTTGTTGATGCTGTCGATGTCGATGTTGTTGATGTTGATGTTGTTGTTAGAAGATTTTTGTGGGGGAGCATATTTTGGCCTTATATTGAACATTTGCTGAACAATGTAGTGGAACTTTTGTTTCATGTGTCTGAATTTTATTACTATTCTAATTAATTTTTTGCCATTAATAAAATTATTAACCACAATTATTATTATTATTGCCGTCATTACCATCATCATTAACATCATCACCATCATTACTCTACTTCTAAAATTACATGAAACAGAGTTCAAATCATCGTCATCGTCATCATCTTCGTCCTCACCATCACTTGCATCATTATAATAACGATTATACACACCTGTATTTATATATATATATATATATGCTATATATATATATATATATATATAGCATATATATATATAGCATATATAAAGCTGTCTGCAAAGCACACCTTGATTATATCCAGCTGCTGATGATGAATGAATGAGTGTTTATTTCTGTCTTTCTATTTGGGTCATCATATTATCTCTTTTTCATCCTTTCTTTCTCTCTCCCTTTCTCTCTCTCTCTCTCTCTCGTTCTAATTTTTATCTCTATTTACAGTCTCTCATTTGAATACCATTTCTCTATATTTCTTTTATATTTTCTATTTCTCTCTCTTCGTCTATTTTTTTTCTCTCTCTCTCTCTTTCTCTGTTTCTCTCTCTCTCTGTTTCTCTTTTTCTGTTTGTTTCTCTCTCTCTCTTTCTCTCTCTCTCCTCTTTTTCTCGCTCCATCTAAATTGTTTCTATATTTTTCGTAACTTTTTTTTTTTATAAAATTTTTATAGCAGATGTAAAAATTTTAAGCCAGTGTCATGTTGCATGTAAAAAGAATATTCTGGTGTCGTAGAATAATAATAAAATAATAATAAAATATTAATAAAATATAATAGTGCATAGAATAAATAAGTATATATATATTTAATTATATATATATATATATATATATATATATATATATATGTATTGTGTATATATGTATGTGACGAGAAATTTCGATGATGATGATGGTATGTTGTATGGTAGTAATTTAAAACATTCCATTTCCTTTCAGTCTTGATCGTTGGGGTTTCTCTGCTAGTATCTTACCACCACCATCATCGTCGTTGTGGTCATCTTCATCATCGTCGTCATCGTCACCTTCATCATTGTCATCATCATCATATTATTTGACGTCATCGTCATCTTAAACTGATTTAATCAATTTATTTGTTCATTCACCCATTTCATTCACTCGTCCGTTCGTTCGTTTGTTTATTTGTTCATTCATTTTTCTGTTCATTCGTTCGTTCATTCATTCAATCACTCATTTGTTCATTCATTCATTTACTCATTCATTCATGTAATTAACCAGCAATAAATTATATTATCAATCTCACATCCAGTCAATCGGATTAAAACAGTGACGTAATTAATGAAAATTAATTGGTGTGCGTTCGTGTGTCCGTGTGTATGTGTGTGTTCGTGTGTGTGTGTGAGTCCGTGCGTGTGAGTGTGCATTCGTGTGCGTGTGTCACTGTACGAGCTTGTGTGTGTGTTTGTTTTCATATGCGTTTTATACCATTAATACGTGGGCTAATAGACCACTGACTTGATTCTCTTAAGCAATTTACAATTTGAATGGCTCTACGTTCTACTTTTTTTTCTCTCATTTCATTTCATTTGATGCCATCTTGTAATATCATTGTCATCGTCGTCTTCGTCGTCATTATCATCATCAACATCGCCTTCTTCGTCATCTTCAACGTCATCATCGTCATCCTCATCATCGTCATCATCTTCATCATCATCCTCATCATCTTCATCCTCCCCATCATCCTCATCATCGTCATCATCTTCATCATCATCGTCATCATCTTCATCATCATCCTCATCATCTTCATCCTCCCCATCATCCTCATCAACGTCATCATCATCATCCTCATCATCGTCATCCTCCCCATCATCTTCATCATTCTCATAAGTTTTTTGTCCATAGTTATATGGTCATTATCTGACTTAATATTTCCTATCGGTCATCATCATCGTCATCAACGTCATCTTTGTCATCATCATATTTCTTCATCATTATCACCATCATTATCGCCGTCTTTGTCGTCGTCGCATTCAGTTGTAGCGTCTTCATTATCGTCATCATCGTCTTCATCGTCGTCATCATCGTCTTCATCGTCGTCATCATCATGTTAGTTGTCGCTATGGAAATAGCGGCGCGCGATCGAGCGTTCAATTATTTTGTGAGGATTTGTATTTTATTAGCTCGTGTATGTAAGTATGTACGAACGTACGCACGCATGTATGTATGTGTGTGTGTGTATGTATGTATGTATGTATGTATGTATGTATGTATGTATGTATGTATGTATGAATGTATGTATGTATGTATGAATGTATGTATGTGTGTGTGTGTATGCATGTATGTATGTATGAATGTATGTGTGTGTGTATGTATGTACGTATTTATGTATATTTTGTATGTTTGTTTGTACGTGTGCATGTATGTATGTGTGTGTGTTTGTAGAGAGAAAAAGAGAAAGACAGAAAGGGGAGAGAGGGGAGATTTGTAAATAACATAAAACTTTTTTTCAATTATGCATCTCGATTCAGGCATATTTTGGAATTTACTATGAAGGAATGAGTGGAAAAAAGATATAAATAGGCATACATCACGACGGAGAGAGAAATAGATAGACAGAGAGAAAGGGAGATAGAGAAAGGGGGAAAGGAAGAAAGATAGATGGTAGATAAAGAGAGAGAGAGAGAGAAAGTGAGGCCAAAGAGATACCTTAGTAATGACATAATACATGCAGATGGTAAAGAAAACTTGTGAAAAAATTTTTCGTGACAATTTTTTTTAGATAGACAGAGAGAAAGGGAGAGAGAGAAAGGGAGGAAAGGAAGAAAGATAGATGATAGATAAAGAGAGAGAAAAAGAGAGAGAAAGAGAGAAAGTGAGGCCAAAGAGATACCTTAGTAATGACATAATACATGCAGATGGTAAAGAAAACTTGTGAAAAAATTTTTCGTGTGTGTGTGTGTGTGTGTGTGTGTGTGTGTGTGTGTGTGTGTGTGTGTGTGTGTGTGTGTGTGTGGTGTTGATACTTTACTGTTGTCTTTTTTATTTATTTTTTCATTCATTTTGTAGTCTCTTTTCTTCTCTCTCTCTCTCTCTTTCTCTCTCTTGTTTATCTCCCTTAATGTCTTCGTTCTTTTTCATCCTGTCTTTTTTTCCGCTGTTCAATTTATTCAGAGATGGACTTATGTTGTTGTCGTTAATTGATTGATTGAATGAATGAATGAATAAATAAATAGATAAATGGATGGAGGCAAGAAAGAAAGAAAGAATGGATGAATGGAAGGATGTATGAAAAACCTGGCTTGGAAGTGGCTGGCACTTTTTTTAATTCACTTATTTTCAATTCATTCATTTTATCGTAAATTTACGTGTGCTTTTTTGTTTGTTTGTTTGTTCATTCATTCATTCATTTAATCATTCGTTCGTTCGTTTGTTCATACGTTTGTTCTTTCGTTCGTTCATTTACTCATTCTTTTGTTCGTTCGTTCGTTCATCACTCATGCAATCTTACAATGGCTGGCTCAACACAAACGTTCAAGAAATAACGACCATATACATAAGACGTGTGTGTGTGGATGATAAGTTCATTCATTCATTCTTTTATTTATTCATTCATTCATATATTCATTCTTTTATTTGTCCATTTTGTCATTCATTCGTTTATTTATTAATTCGCTCACTCTTTCATTAATTAATTCACTAATCTATTTACTTTTTTCTTTACTTCATTTGCTCACTCATTCATTCGTTCATTCTTTCGTTCGTTCATTCATTTGTTCATTCTATAAATCAATTATTCACTCGTTCGTTCGTTCGTTCATTCATTCATTCATTCATTCATTCATTCATTCACTCATTCATTCATTCATTCATTCATTCATTCATTCATTCATTCATTCATTCATTCATTCATTCATTCATTCATTCATTCATTCATTCATTCATTCATTCATACATTCATTCATTCCTTCATTCATTCATTGGTAATATATGTACTAAGCACGGCTGACTGACCACTTTGATCCGAGGCATGCATGCCGATGATTCAGACGGTGACGACGACGACGACGATGTTGATGACTATTACGATAATAATAACGAATTACTACTAATTCTACTATTTTTACAGCGACTGCTGCTAATACTGCTGCTGCTACTACTGCTGCTGTTGCTTCTACTACTTCTACTACTACTACTACTACTACTACTACTACTACTACTACTACTACTACTACTACTACTACTATACTACTACTACTATACTACTACTACTACTACTACTACTACTACCACCGCCATCGTCATCACAATCGTCATCACCACACCACACCGCAGGTTGTTGGCGGCCATTTTGATGCGGAGAGTAATTATGTCCTGTTGGATACCTCGTCCGTTTCTTCCTTGTTGAATTTCCTCAGAAGATGTACTCCCACAGTTCAAGTTAGTTGTTGATTGGTTGATTGCCCGATTGGTTGGTTGGCTGGTTAGTTGATTGGTTGGCTAGTTGGTTGGTTGGTTGATTTCTATCTTTAATGCTGATGATGCTTGATATGATGTTGATGATGAGTGATGAGTATGGATGTTGTTGTAGATGAAGAAGACGACGACGACGATGATGAGTACGGCGATAAAGGCTATGATGATGACGATTTCAGAAAAATAATGATGATGATGATGATGACGATTTCAGCTTCTGCCATTTGGCATTTATTGGAAACCAATATCTGCAAGACACATGCACATAATAACAACAACAACAATAATAATAATAATAGAAGTAATAATAAAACATTAATAATAATAATAATAATTAAAAATTAATAATAATAATAACAATAATAATAATCAGTACTAATACCTGTACGGTAAATGGATGATAATAATAAATACATATGTATTTAAGCGTGTGTATGTATGTGCGTGTGTGTGTGTATGTATTTGTGTGTGTGTGTATGTATTTGTGTGTGTGTGTGTGTGTATGTGTGTGTGTGTGTGTGTGTGTGTGTGTGTGTGTGTGTGTGTGTGTGTGTGTACATACATCTTTTCCTGTCTGCTAATTGACAATTGTAAAGGATGTCATTATTTCTCCTCGGCTCCAAATAATGGCGATGATGATGATGATGGTGATTGCGATAATGATGAAATGATGATGATGATGATTATTATTATTATTATTGTGATTATTATTATTGTTGTTGTTGTTGCTGCCGATGTTGCTGTTGTTGTTATGATGACAATAATGATGATTTGGTTGGATGAAGATGTTTATGATCTACGCCAGTGTAAATACATTTATTTTATAATTCATGCTTGTATTGCTACTACTACTACTACTACTACTGCCGCTACTGCTTTTACTACTGTTACTGCTATTACTACTGCTACTACTGCTGCTACTTCTACTACTACTGCTACTACTAGTAGTAACAGACAACAACAACAACTACTACTACTACCATATCGTGGCCACAAAAACAGCTGTCTTAGCCGCAATGAATGCTTCAACTCTACACTCATCAAAAGTCTTATACACATACACACGCACACATACATTACATGTGTGTATATATATATATATATATATATATATATATATATAATAGATTTCATCAAATAAATATTGTATATATATTTATATATATATATATAGAGAGAGGGAGAGAGAGAAAGAGAAAGAGAGAGAGAGAGAGAGAAAGAGAGAGACAGATAATGGCTCATTCCATCACCTCATTTTACATAAAATAAAGGTTTCCTTTTTAGAACTACTGCTGCTTCTACTTCTCTGCTGCTGCTACTACTACTATTACTACGACTACTATTACTACTACTATTTTTTCTGCTACTACTACTACTACTGTTGCTGCTGCTGCTACTACTAATGCTACTTGCTCGTTAGTATCAAGGTACGATATGAGCATTGGTTTTGTTGATGAATAATTCATCTACGTCATTAATATTACCGTCTGCAAATGTATGTGTGTGTATGTGTTTTTATGTTTATGTATGGGTGTGTGTTTGTGTTTGTATGTGTGTGTATAGTGTGTATGTGTGTGTGTGTGTGTGTGTGTGTGTGTGTGTGTGTGTGTGAATTATTTCGTACATTTATATACATCTAAAACTTGTAGGCACGCATATATTTACGACTATCATGTTTACTTACTATACTAATTTTATTCAATTTTTAGATACTATTGTTCATTCAAATATTTTTTTCATTACTAACAATTCTCAACACATTCCCTATCCATCCTACATACATACGTACACACACACACATACATACATACACAGACATACAGACACAGACAGACAGACAGATACAAACAGACAGACATAGACAGACAGACATAGACAGACAGACAAACTCAAACACACAAACACAGGCGGAGATATGGACAAATTTGAACGGCATGCTACGTAAAAGCACTACAAACCTACAAATATGCACTTCGGCT